ACATGTACATACAGTGTACAGTTCATACATTTTAGGTGTGGAGCCATTATAATTTGTCGGTTCAGTGAGCAACATCATGTACCTGCAATCGGCTGGATGAGAACGTGTCCCAGACGCTAATTTCGGGCGCAATTCAAAACATGACTCGGCAACTTTCGAATTGAAATTGAGATCCCAGAATAATGGTTTCTCGGAATATACAGCATTCACTGAGCTAATAGTAATACATAATCAGGTTAGTTGTTAAGCACCCTTCTTTGGATTCTGAGCACTTTGTTGCTTCAAACGAAAACAAAAATGCACAAATGACAAATGATACTCCACCTTTAATCATATACTGCACATTTGTATGCTGTGACAGTATGGAACATGTGCATACATTGTACAATGTACATGTACAATTTCCATGAGTCATACATGCACATCTACACCTACATGTGCATCAAGAATGGGAAATAACTGTGCAAACATGAACACATGTTAGACTCTACATGTGATTACTGCTTGTGTTGCACCTTTTTTTTTTATTGTAAACACTGTACCGGTACATGAAGCTGTGTAATTATGATCCACTGAAGTCTAATCCTTGAATACATTACGTCCATAGTCTGGAACATGTTGATAGACCTGTACCATTTAAAGGGGAATATACAACATTTGCGAACATCGAAAAACAAAACGAACACATTTTTACAAAATACCTTACTAGGATGTTGATTAATGACAGTCTAAAGCATCCCGTAAAATTATGGCACCTGGTGTGAAGCCATTTTCAAGAAAAGTGGTATTTTGTATAAATTTCCAACAGTGGTCGGCCGACCACCTTTGGAAAAACCTAACTATTTTGCAACTTTTGATCCAAATTTACCATTTTTTCAGTCCAAATTTTGTTTGCTATTGGTTTCATGTTCATGAACGGGTGCAGGCCAGCTAGACTGGTTCCCTTACCTTACAATTTTCCGGCATCTATAAATTGATCCATTTCATCTTAGTGGAGTCAGGGAACCAGACTACTTGAACATTTGTGTTTTTCTTGGTTTTTCCAGCATTTTTTTAACACAAAACTTCACACATGTCAGTGTAACAACATTTGATCTATTATACTAACCGCTCAAATAGTTCATTTCTGAAAATTACAGCAAAAGCCAATGATGTACATTCCCTTTAAATGTTTGATACATTTTCCCCATGTACATGTACCTATAGAATACTCACTATACCTTTGCTTTCCAAGACTGTTTTGAATCGCACTCTGTACAGTTATCAGGAAACTGGATGGCGCAAGGTGTGAAATTTTTAATGAAGAACTCCATCAACAGTTAATAGCATGTAGTACCCAGGATGGTCTGGGTTGGGGGGGGGGGGGAGAGAGACAGCGTTTCTGACTTGTTATAAATTATCCTACATGAAACAGGAAAATATGTCATCCTAGACTAATCCCTGTTTGACATACTGGCTACAGGCAAGGTCAGCTTTATGATGATTAGTTTGCCTTCGTTCCAATTAAAACAAAGGGGAAACCATATACAGGCCTACACAAGGCTGTCAGCAGGCTAGCCAAACGAGGAAAACAAGTCTGCAGTTTAATGAAATGTGGTACAAATTTATTGATTGAACATAAACAGAATGTGCAAAGCTTTAATTGCTAAGCTTAAAGTTTAACAAGAAAACGAATTCACAATACAACACCAAGAACATTTAAAATGCTTGATTAAATGATTGCAAAATAGTTGCAGATGAATTATCGTACTCATCATGTACACACAACCGGAACTGATACTTCAACGATATTATGATCATTTTAAAAAATGTGAAATTTCTAACGTGGTTATCTACATGTACCTCCATGGTTATAGGCCTACTGTACCAGGTTTTTAGTTATCTTATCAGCATTCCCTTGACACAAGCTATACATTTACAGGCGTATTATTAATGCATGTGTGTACACTATAAAATCAACAATTCAGCAGATGTGTTCAGTACTGGTAGCTCTGACCCAAGTACACACACATGTACAGACACGTCTGTTTATGGTGTAAATCAAGGATTTTCTATTGTCCCTCTTCTCTTTTCCTTCGTTTATACATCAACCTTTTTGCAACAGGTTTAGTACACATTTTCTAATCGAGGTCGAGGTCGTCCTCGATTTGGTTCCTGTCCTCGATTCATCGATGGTGTTGCACGTGTGTGCTCGATTTACACCATAAACACGCACATGTACACACACAAAGAAAGTATTAATGCATGCATTTGCCCAAAAAGCGATGAACAGTAAAATTTGCTAAATCCAGACAGTAAGGCCAAGTAAAAGAATAAACCCATTTCTTGTCCCCGCCCACTGTCTTTTTTCCACTCACCTCCTCTTTTTTTTCATTTTGCAATTTTTTCAGTATATTGTCTTTTTTTTTAAACTCGTTTCCACTCATAAAGGGGTGACGACTTCTTTGGACACAATTTTGCATCAGCAAAAGAGTCGAGAAAATGGGAGAATCCATCCATCTTGGAAACTCTGCCCTCTTTTGGGACCAAAAAAGGGGGCTGCCTCCTTCATTTGTTCAAAACATTCGGACAATTTATTTATTTATTTATTTTGGCAAAAACAAACAAACATACAACGGAATAAAAACGAACGTATTTCATGATATACAAAGCCAAGGAAAACCCGAAAAACTGTTTATAAGACGGCTTAATTCCATCGGGGTCCTTAAAAACACACATATACAAGTACAAGTACAACTAAAAAAGTTCAAAAAAAATTGCACTGGATCTAGCAACAGAAAAATAATTTAAAGAAAAAATCACAGAAATCACAAAAATCTCAGCTGCTTAAAAAACAAAATTAATTAGAAGAGAGATGTTCTTTCACTGCCCTTTTAAAATGAGGAAGATTGTTGGAACATTTGATGCTGCTTGGAAGTAAATTCCATTGATGAATTCTGGTACAAAAAAAATGTGAAGTGCACTCTTGCCCTTTACATGTAATTCTTGGAACAACAAAATTGGTGGAACTGCCCCTGGTAGAAACTTTTTTTTTTTTTTCAACTCTGCCTATAAAGTGACCTGGTACTGGTAGTGCTAGATATTGAGACTAGGTCAGACAGAGATAAGGGGACCCTGTATATGCAGTCAGTCACTCTGCCGTGGCCCTGACCTAAGCTAGGTCAGAGTCTTCCATTGTTCGTCTGTTTGTGGTTGGGGTTTTTTGGCGGGAAATCAGCTGGAAAGTGGTTTTTCCTGGTAATGGGTGATGTGAATAAACGCTGAATGACAAAATCGATTGGGCAATAACAAATGATCAATAAGATCTGGGGGTCACTCACTGGGCACTGGCTGCAAAACACGCTGGAGAATAAATATTGGAAATCTGAAATTTGGGCCAGTTTATGATCATTGTCTTTAAAATGATTTCAGAGCAACACTTTTTCAATGATATCAGTCTACAGTGATGGTGTACCTGTCTACAACACAAACTTTATAAAAATCGCATAAAATTTATAAATTACATCTCATTTAACTCAGAAATGTATAATTGGTGCACATAATTTTTTTTATTGGTGCCAATCGCTTATACATGAACATACTTGTTGTATCATGTACATGTACATTGTAGGCCAACTGAACGGTGGACAGCATTCTTCTTTTTTACTTAAAATTTGAATCGCTAATTTTGCCTGCTACATGTACATCGATATGTGGTCATGATTGCGTCTTTACGGGCCCTGTTCCTATCCACAAGGTTATTGGAACAAATCTAACTGCTGCGACCCAGGTGTGTGACCAAAATTAGTTAGCAAACGAACAGGAATGTCGCGGATAGAGGGCCGTGTTTTGATTGATTTTTGGAAAGAAAGTTGCATCCTGACACCACTTTTTTCATCATATGGTATCTTAATGAATGTCAGTCATTGCAAAAATGTTGAAAAGACATGAATCTGGGACTGAGAAACATTTCCAAATTTGTTAAAAAAATACTTTGAAAACTATCCACTCAAATCTCCATTGACTTTGTACACCACCAGAGAAGTGGCGTCAGGATTTCCTGATTTTTTTTAGGGATATGTTGGAGTAAAATGACGATGAACGTGACAAAACAAAAATAACGATGGTGATCACTGTGATCACCATTACGCACCGTGAAGACAAAACCGCACTGATTCACATGACATCAAGTGTCACACAAAATTCAAAATTACAAAAAAAAGAGTGTTCTTAGAATTAAGAAAAGTCTGGTTTAGGTTGCAGTTAAAGTATTAATTCTGGAATGAAATAATAGTACTCTTGACTCCAGTCCAACTATACTTTACCAAAAATAGAGAGCAACCTAGTCCCACTAACTGGGTCGCTAGAACTCCTGGCTAGTACGACAGTAACATCCCAAATGTCAAAAAAGGAGTTCTAGCGACCCAGTTAGTGGGACTAAGAGCAACCTGTTTATACACATACATTGTAGAAATCATGTAAAGAAAATGATGTTGCAGTTGAGTACAAAGTCTATGGAGAGTCAAGAAAATTTCCTTAAGTATTTCCTTACAAAATTGGAACTGTTTCTCATTCCCGGATATACATGTGTTATCATCATTTTTGCAATGACTGACCTTCATTGAGATGATATTTTATAAAGAAAAAAGCAGTCTGCTCTGGTTGCAACTACCGTCAGAGAGAAGGCTTCTCTCCGTCAGGCTTCTCTCCGTCAGGCTTCTCTGTGATGGAGAGAATTAAGCCTTCTAATTCTAGAAATAGAAGTAGGTTGCAACATTCTATCCAAAATCATCTTTATATATTATGAGGAAATTTGAGAGAATATAGACTGTTTTCCCGCTCTAACCCGAGGCCTAAGTTTGTTTTGCATCTTTTCAGTCCACCTTCATCATCATGTACTATTTCGTCTCATTCTACTTTATAGAATATCCATGATAGTATAGGCCCCTAAATGATGTACACTCATAATAAGTGTCACTTTTTTTTGTTTTCCAACCGCCACGTCTTCTTTCTTGGCTTACCTTTTACAGCAGCCGAACCCTGAACGACAACTTCCAGCGAGCAATGAAGTAAACAACTGTTGTCGTGTTGAAGATTCTGGCTTGAGTGACGTCACACACCCCAAGCCAAATTGTCGACCATATTTATTGTCTTGGAAAGTTGGAAATATTGTTTTTTTTCGTCGTCCCGCGCCGGCCGCTGACTTCAAAACAATCACTGCTGCAATCAGCAATGCACTTGCACTGCATGCAGCAGACGCAAAACGTTTCACAGAACTCGTACTCGCCTCCGGATATAAGGGATGAAATATCCTTACTGACAGCTACAATTAATTGCTAAGTAGGACATGACGAAAACCAAATTATTGAATTTTTCAGTCCCGAGCACCACATGCACAAACATTCAACGTTTGCGTGCAGACGTTTTTTTTTTCTATAAAAAAAATATTAGTGGTGCGGTGAGTAGCGCCCTCTTGAGTTAGACTTTTTAATAGCTTTGCGTGATTTTCAGATTTTCATTTTGAAGTGCACAATTAACCTTTTTCAAATGCGCCCAATATTATAAGTACATTATTTTCTTACAAACATTTAGTTGGATTCGTGATAATAACGGTAAGCATTATTAAGGTAAAAGTAACAGTCTTTATTATCTGAATGAATTTGAAGCTTTTCAACAAAGGGGCTTCGAAAGTCGAGGGGCTCGATGTGCTGCACGTGACTCAACATACCCAATTCCCAAAGCCCGAGTTATTGTCCGGCCACAATTTTTTTTTTCCGTTCCATGTCTCATTCAAAAGTTTATAATTTTGTATTGCTGGAAAATTTACATATTGTTTTGCTTTCTTATTACAGCGCTTTGGGCTTGACCATTTAGCATGCTGAGCCAATACGGCTCTGACTATTGATCTCCATGCTCTATTTCACACCTACGTAAACAGGCCAAAACCCATCGCCGAGCTCATGAATAAACGTTACACCCCTCAAAATACTCTATAGTTCTAGCTGAGAGCCATACAATTGGGGAATTGAAGAGATATGGCAATGAACCTCTGGCCCGGACGTGGGGCTTCCAAGATCCAGCATTTTGGATGCAATTGGGCTCGCGGCGCTATTTTGCCATGTCCGTGGAGAGATCGTTTTTCGAGATAGCTACTTTTCCACTTTGGGAAATTACTTGTAGTCTTCTTTGGGTGACAATTTCGAATAGTCAACCGTCAATCCACCAAAAAATGAAAAGAAAATGAAAGATGAACACCTATGAGAGTTTTGGAGTATTTTTAAAAGAATGTTGAGGTATGGCATTTCACTGTTGTCTGAATTTATTTGATTGGGTGCACCCCTAGTGGTCTCGCACCAATGCCTACCTTATTTTTGAGTGACTAGGTTTGCGGAAACACCTTTGGGAATAATTTCTCAACTACGAGAATGGTTTTGAAAAGAACCAGAGGTATAAACTCGACGTTCATCCGGCCGGCGGTGATGCTCTGCACTTTTTTACTTCGGGAGAAGAAATCTTACTTATACCTTAATTTTCTTGCAATAGAGGGCGCGCCACATAAATAGTGGTCTCGATCTTCACCACCAAAATCGTTTTGGGGGGCAACTACTCAAGAAATATGAGACGTATTAAGTTGAATTTTTGTACAATGATTTGTCATTATATCTAACACTAGGAGATTTAATTTCATAAGAAACCGTCAAACAGTGAAGTTATTATGACTGTAACAATACAGTGTTTTAAGTGCGCGACAAAATACAGTCCACTTAAAATACGAAACAAACTCGTTTTGGGAGCAACAACTCAAGAAATACTAGATATTAAAATTGTAAACGCCTAGAAGATCTAGAGTGGTCATTGCCAATAACGCTGCCCTATTAAAGGGCCGGGGCCCATTTTCGCTTCACTAAAGCGCCAGGGACGCGCCCGGGCCCCGGGGGCGGGCCGTGACCTGAGGAACATCCTTCTACTTTACTTGTCATTAATATCTTGTGATCCCACAGGTAATTTTAAATAAGAGGTCCTTGCGGCCTATATACTTGGGGCATTTTGTAGAAACTTTTCTGGAGATCAAGCATTAATTTTGTGACTTGTGACTGCCATCTTGGGGGATTTCTTTCACAAGATTAAAAAGCCTTAACTTGTGGTCCTATTTTGCATAGAGGCGGGCGGGGGAGGGGGCGGGGTACTTCAACCTTGGCCTAGAGATTCGGGCAACCATTTTAGGGGCGTTTGGGGTGAGGGGAATATAAAAAACGATTGACCCGGTTTACCACTAGTAAAATTGAAAGGAAATGTCCTCGGGGTCGCAATCTTTAATTTCCAGCGAAAAAAACCTCGTCGCCTATCTCTTGAGCGACGTCACCAGGCGGCGCTGCTGTCTCTGTCCGAGTCCGATTTGTGTTTTTTTCTATGAGCGCGTATTTGGTGTATTGGAACCACAGACATTGGAAGCCAGGCTAGACATGCGCCATCATCTTTTTGTAATTGTTTTATTCCATTTTTGCTAGGAAATCTTATGATTTTGTTTTCTTAAGGAAACTCAACAACTGCATGGGTGTATAAGTGTTTACAATGTGTTTTGTGCATCTAGCAGATTTGTGAAGTGATCTAGAAGAGTTGCACGTGCCATTTCCACCGTGGGCCGTTGATGTACCCTAACGTGGCGCGGCCCCCAACGTGGCGCACTTTGATTTTTCGCCTGTAGCGCCTAGCTAGAGCAAAAGTTTTAATTGAAATTTCACAGAAAGTGACATTTCATCACATTCTCACACTCCCGTTTATAAATCGCGAGTTTATTCACCCGTTACAAAGTGCAAAGTGAACCCTTTGAAAATGCCCCGAAAAATAAGAAAATAATTTTCTGACAAACATCTTGCTGGGTATGTAAGTAGAGATAATAATGCTTTATCAGAATTTATCAAGTTCACAGAGATTCTTAAATGTTTATTTGGAATTTTCCGAGATTTATTCAAGTGCGCCACGTTAGGGAACACTCCGCCAATTTGTGCCCAATTTCCGGACGCCACCGTTTTGGAAATGATTTCGGATTAAATTTTATGAACCGAAATTGTTCACAGAGGTTAAATAGCAAGCATTAATAAGGTAAAAGTACCAGTATTTTACTGCATGAATTAGAGATTTGTCAACAAAGAGGTTTGGCAATAGGCTAATCAACACTACACAAGGAAAGTTGGGTAAGCTTCGAAGCGGCCACGTTAGAGAACACGACTAAAGACTATATCTTTTCGCTACGATGATCAAATCATGATCTTTGAAATAAAGACCGAAGTTCGATCGCAAACCTTTTCGCTGGCGGGTAAAACGGAGCGTTAAAATAGCACATTGCCGTAAAAAAAAAAGTGGTCCTCCAATCATTCTTCACAAAACCCCAAGCGCCGGGGTTTTGTGCACAAACTTTATCACACGGCCTATCATGCTCATTGACATCGGCAAAACCGCAAGCCTCCGCCTACATCATAAAGAATAAAACCGGACCAACTTTTACGAGAATGTGTTCCTAATGTACAAAACGTTTGATTATTGTTTCAGGTAAAAATTTGGGTGTTTTTTCTTTTACAGGGTTCAATAATCAGCTATGTAATTAATATGTTTTCCGTTGAAGATATTTGCAGATGTTTTCTTCATACCCATGTCAGAATATCAAAGACAAACGTTTTGTGACTTTATAATTATGCCTTCATGAAGATCATGAACTTATTTCAGAGCTCTTAGAGATGGTTAAAAGTTATACCCCTTAATATATGATATAATAGAAAGTTCAGCCATCGCAACTGGGGAATGGAAGAGATACATGGCAATGAACCTCTGGCCCGGACTTGGGGCTTCCAATTCTGAGCATTCTGGATGAAATTGGGCTAGAAAGTAGCGCTATTTTGCCATGTAGAGGGATCGTTTTTCGAATTGGCTATTTTCCGCTTTGTGAAAAATAGGGGTCGTCTTCTTTGGGTGAGAATTTCTCGAAAAGTCAATCATTGTCAACCCACCAACATTTTGAAAGAAAAGGAAAGATGACATGTTGATCATCATTTTTCTGTGCAGCTTAAAAACCTGTGAGAGTTGTGAATAATAAAAGAATTTTGAAGTACATGTATGGGTATTTAGCACTAGTGTCTACTGACCATAATATTTGAAGAGCGCCCTCTTGAGATATTAGAGCTCATAACAAATCCTATGTAAATGGTGCGGATGTTGACAACAGTGTTCCTTTAAGTTTTAATGATCAAAACTGATTTTGGAAAAAAATGTTCAGCAAAACAGAAGCTTCTAAAAAGGCAGAACTGCTTGAGAAGGCCAAGGCTTCCAGGAATGAAAGGGCGCAGAATAAGCAAAGAGGAGATGCCGTCGTGAAAATCCAGGTGAGCACTGCACTGCCACTGTACTGCACCACTGACTCAGTGACTGGCCACTCATTCATGTCATTGGCATTGCCTCCATGATATGTGTAGGACTGGGTTATTTACGGGATTCCAGTTACGGGCCCCTCTTTGTAAGATTCGATAACATTAGAGTCAAGGGTGGTTTATTTTAGCAAACGCAAAATAACGTCGAAGGACGATATTTTCACCGCGAAATCGTAAACACTTTTACAGGATCAAACTAAAAACAGCGCGTTAAAAATAAGGCAGTGGATATTTTGCCGGAGACGGCAAACCTTCAGTAAACGTTAGTTTGCCGGATCAACTTCAACATTTTCCGGTGACAAATTTTAGTCTGGCTCCATGCCAATATTATCGTTGTATTTTTTTATGTACAAGATGGGAATCAGACCATTTTATAATTTCGGACTTTATTTCCCTTTAAAAAAAAATCCTCCAGAGCCACAAATCTGAAAAAGAAAAAGTAATACTCTGCAATAAAATGTTTGAGACATATTAAAATAATAATTTTAAGAAGAACATTCTTATTTATTTGGAGATGGGAAAAAAAAACCTTAAAATTGTGGCGGGGATAAGGATTCGAACTCGGGACATCCCACTCACCAGAGTCAATAATAATAATAATAATAAACCATTCTTATAAAGCGCATTTTACACGGGGTCCCAATGCGCTGAACAATTAACAGAGGAAAACACTAACATTATATTTCATTTGCAGTGAACAGATGGGTTTTAAGATTAGCTTTGAAAACGTCCAGGGTTGGGGCTTCCTTGATGTGATTGGGTAGTTTGTTCCAGAGGGTTGGGGCTGCAGATGAAAACGCTCGCTGACCGTATGACCTTGTCGATGTTGAGGAGCAGGCGAGCAGGGATTGTGAGCTTGATCGAAGATTTCTACGGGGTTCATATTTATGGATTAATTGCTGGAGGTAAGTAGGGGCGAGACGATGGAGACATTGGTATGTTAGGAGAAGGGTTTTGTAGATTATCCTCCTCTTGACTGGGAGCCAGTGCAGATTACGGAGAATAGGTGATATGGGTTGATGGGGCTTCGAGAGGGTGACTAGTCTTGCAGCTGAATTTTGGATGCGTTGGAGTTTGGCGATTTGTGAGTCTGGTAGCCCTTGAAGTAAACTGTTGCAAAAATCTAGGCGACAAGTAATAAATGCATGAGCAAGCTTTTCTGTGGTGTGCGGGTCGAGGAATTTGCGGATCTGTCCGATTTTAATGAAGGGCAAATGATGCAGACCGACAGATGCTATTGATGTGCGTGTCCATTTGTAGATTAGGTTGCATTGTAACACCTAGGTTTCGTACCTTAGAAACGGGCTGGAGGGAAGCGTTGCCGATATGAACAGGGGGGAGTTGAGTGTGGCTTCTATGGCAGGATGTTATATGAAGGACCTCCGTTTTGTCTGCATTTAATTTCAGTTTATTTGATGTGGACCATGATTTGATGTCGTTAAGGCAGAGTTCTAACTGGGGAATGGCTGTAAGTCGATCCCGCTCTTTCAAAGTGATGTAAACTTGAGTGTCGTCAGCATAGATCATTTTTCCGACACCGTGGGCCTCGATTATGTCCTCAAGGGGGGATGTGTACATTATGAAACACAAGGGTCCCAGCACAGATCCTTGAGGGACAACGACTTCAGGGACATAAGCGTCAGATAGGTCATCATTTATTGAAATGTGCTGAGTACGGTGTTTGAAGTAAGATTCGAACCAATTGATAGCATGGCCGGATATGCCATACCTGTGACAAAGACGATGAAGCATGATCTCGTGGTTGATGGTGTCAAAGGCTGCGGAGTAGTCCAGTAGGACAAGAACCGCCTCTTGGCCCTTGTCAGCAGCTAGTAACAAGTCGTTGTTCACTCGGAGAAGAGCCGTCTCCACACTATGACGACGCTTGTATGCAGACTGCATGTTGCTGTGAAGACTGTTCTCGAGAAGATAATCTTGGACCTGAGACGAAGCTGCGCGTTCAGTTATCTTAGCGAGAAATTTCAAATTGGCAATAGGTCTGTAGTTTTTTAGTGGTTCCGGATCCATGTTGGGTTTCTTGAGCAGGGGGGTGACGTGGGCAGATTTGAAAGCATCAGGAAAATGGCCGTTCTCAAGGGAGAGATTGATGATTGTTGTGATGATGGGAGTGAGTTCATTTAGACACTTCTTCAGTAACGATGTGGGAATTGGATCAAGTCTGCATGTTGTTGAAGGTGACCCGGTGATCAACTTTCTGACAGAACTATCAGAAAGGATGTCAAATCCAGTGAAAGATGTCTCGCACGAGTCGGCCACTGGTACTGTTGTCTCAACTGTTGAAGCGTTATCAAGTTCGGCTATGATGGTCTGGGTCTTATTGGAAAAGAATTGTGAGAAACGATCCACTAGTGACTCTGGTTCATTCTCTGGCGGAAGGGTTCTTGAAGATTTCGGGGTGCATAATTTGTCGACTTTGCGAAACAGTTGTTGAGAATCGCAGTCGGCAAGTTGTGTCCTGTGATATTCGGTTTTGGCTTGAGTTATCATACGATTGTACCGGTAGATCTGTTCATTCAGAAGTTGTTTGTGAACTGCCAGTTTAGAGGATTTCCACTTGCGTTCACGTTTACGTAGTTCTTGTTTTGCTTTGTGGATGTGTTCATTGTACCACGGGGCGTGTGGGCGACATGGTATGTTACGAGAGATGAGGGGGGCGTGTTGATTTAGGAGATCTTTCAAAGTACTCTCGTACGAGCCGAAGGGGGGTCTGGGATCGAGCGTTAATTGATAAATCAATATGTTCAAATGAATCAAATGTTCTACCTTCGTTCATATGGGCATTGAAGCTGCTTCGAAGATACACACAGACGCCACCACCATTTCTGTTTTTCCGAGGTATGTGCCGAATTTGGTAGTCAGGAAGTGTTGCCATAAGATCTGCAATAGCACGATGATCCCGATGATCACCAGTCAGCCATGTTTCAGTTATGGCGATAATATCGATGTGGTTGGATATAATTAAATCACATAAGATAGGGATCTTGGGTTTCATCGATCGAGCATTCCACAGACCGAATGTAGTGGGAACAAGTTGTTTTGTGGGTGGTAAGCTTGGTGAAATGTTGGTGAGGTTGGTGGGATTTGCACCTTTTTGTCCCGCTTGAAAATCAGGGTGAATCTCGTAGGGTATGTCTTGGTGGCTCAGTACGGGGATGGGTTTCTGTTGTTTAGCCCATGATCTGCGGCCCCTTTTGGTTGGTCTTGGCACACCAATTCCAAGCTCTTTCAGTCTGGTGTGAACGTGAAGGGGCACTGTGGTTTTACCTGTAGGTTTGAACGACAGCAACTCATCATGGCTGTAGGAGTTTGTTGTAGTGGCAACCATGACTACTGCTGACAATAGGATAAGCACAATGGCCAACAATGCCGATCCAGCCATGCGTCAATCAATTTCTGAAGCACAATGACGAGCCAAAACACACTGCTGAATGCTATAGGCGTACGTAGTCCTTGTACAGTAGGCCTACTTGTACTCGGAGTAATGAGCAGAATCTGTTCAAAATTCCAGGTTTTTGGCGATCAGGTAACTTGGATTTCCGATCCAGGAGCTAGGAGGATCCTTACGTCTGTGTGATCCGACTGTGTGGTTTTTGAAGTTGATGTCGGTGATCAAAAGGCAAAAACCGAGACAATTTTGCCAGGATATGAGCATGTAGGTGCAACCGGAAGCGCTACCAGTATATCACTGCTTAACCACTGCACCGATTGTGCTACACAACTTTGATGGGAATTTAATACATCTTATAATTCAGCCCTATCTTAAAGAGTACAGCGCCCTCTGTTGATATGGATTACCGCCGGCAAACCTTTAGTAAACGTTAGTTTGCCGGCGTTATCACCGGCAATATATATCCACTATCTAAAAATAATAAAACGGCTCACCGTGTAAACTGAATGGTGCCCCCATTCGCCAATTAGTACACTTGTATCAGTGCTTTTTGTTCTCCTTTCGGGGGAGGGGCAGGGTCTTAAGAAATCATCCTGCAGGCATATAGTCTTTAATCAACTAGAACGTTGCTGGGAAAATATCAAACTTTTTCAGGGGATGTTTTAGTCAAACATTAATTATGAATAAAAAAATTGAGCTCATTATAAAAACCACTTCCCACCAACAGCGATAATAGGGAGTCCACCTCCGTTCGCATACTCACAGCATGTCTATTTTCACAGGCATCGTACACGGAATAAACCACACTACCCGTCAGATTTTTTTATATTAATTTAAAAAGGAAGAGTTATACCACACATAAGACAGGACAATTCTGGAAGGTTAGTGGGCAATCTCTATTCCTAACGAGAAACGTGATAAGTACTGCGATAATACGGCATTCCATCCCTACATTTGTATAATTTGTGCTATTTAAGTGTTTGTGTGTTAAATAGAAAAAAGTTGACTCCAATTCGTTTGAGAATTTAAAAGAAAGCAATTGTGGTATTGGCTGTGTTTGTATGTGGGTTCAGAGATATTTGCACAAAAATGTGAAAAGTGTGTGACATCATGATGACATCATCAAAAATGCAATTTTTTTAAAACACATAAAGGAAGGTCCTGTTGTCATGAATCTTAGTGAGAAGCTAGATATCAATATGCAAAATCCAAGGTGATGTCAAGATGACGTTATCAGCAAATTTTTTTATATTTTATATCTGTTAGGTACTAGCTCAGTATTACTCTTTATGAACTTTGAACAAAAAATTATAATTTACATGACTGCACATTGGCAAAAAAAGCTTAAAGGGAAAATACAACATTTGCAAACATCAAAATATAAAACTACCAATTCATTTTTAAATACCTTGCTGGAATGTTAGTGAATGACAGTGTAAAGCATCCTGTAAAATCATAGCACCTGGTATACTGTCATTTTCAAGAAAAGTGGTATTTTTGTATCAATTTCCAACGCTGATCGGCCGATCAGCGTTGGAAACAACTGGCTTTTTTCAAATACTGGCCCCAATTGACCATCGCACTCGTCTGCAATCGATTACAAACCTATGAACGGGTACGAGCCAGCTAGACTGGTTCCCTGACCTTACAATTCCCCAATGTATGTAAACTGCTCTGTTTCTTCTTATATGGAGTCAGGGAACCAGACTACAGGAAAATGATCGTTTTTCTTGGTTTTTATAGCATTTTCGAACCCAAAACCTCAAAAAAGTCAGTGTAACTATATTTGCTATATATTTCCAACCCCCCCAATTCCATCCATTTCTGAAAATTACAGCAAAAGCAAATGATGTATATTCCCTTTAAAGTCACGAAAAAAATCATAAGCGGAAAAGCCCTATGTTCTGTTTTCAAACAGACATAGACCTCTAGTTTTATTTCTCTTTTTTTAAATTTTAAACTAGGCGCTTGTGCGAGGGTTCCTTTGTAGGCGGAGGTACAGGCGACAGATGCTGGGGAGTCTGGATTCCATTCTTGGTGCATACTGTGCATCTACTTCATCAGCCTCATCAACAACATCACCACAACCAGTGCAGTCTCAAGCCAACAACAAACAGCAGTTCAAACCAGGTACAACAAATTAAGTTTTTTTCTAGCCTGGGACTAGCCCCATAAATGTGGCCAATTTACTGGGCTACCTCCGTAAATAAAGGCCACACTTGGAACATGTACCCGAACATGTAGAACTTTCTCAAGTTTTTATTTTCACATTTAGACTCTGTTTGTAGTTTATTTAAGCTTTAGAAGCAACACTCACCCTCTTTAAAACGATAGAAAAGTAGTCCCCCTTTTTCAAATGTCTATATTTTGTGTAATTTCCAGGTTCGTTTGCACACGTTAGCGTATCTAAATTCCAAAACGAAATTACACGGAAAAAAGACGTCTGAAAAAGGGGGACTACTTTGCTTTAAAGAGGGTGAGTGTGCCTCTAAAGCGTAAAAACAAGTCTAAATTTGAAAATAAAACTTGACAAAGTTCTACATTTTCAGGTACATGTTCCAAGTGTGGACTTTACTTACAGAGGTAGTCCATTAAATTAGCCACATTTATGGGGCTAGCCTGGGACCTGTCTGAGAAAATTTGGACACCTATCCTAAATGCAGATGTATTATAAAAGCATGGAATGTCGGTTATTGAGGTGCCCTGGTTATCAGTTCAAGGTAAATTTAAACACCTAATTTTGCCTGCCAACATTGACATTTGAATTCAGTTTTGCATGGCCAGTGATTTTGCTTTCTCCATAAAATGCAGTGAAGGCATAAACATGTTTTGTTGAATTGCTCTTTACAGCCCAAGATGTTTTCCACGCTGTCTGCAAATTTCTCACGGTGTATGCGGACGACATGGATAGGAAGGTAGGCAGTTTAAAGTAGGTAGGCTGTACTATAAAGTGGACAAAGTTTATGTACGCGTGCACAATGGCACAGTCATCTGAAAGGGAATATACATTTGCTTTAAAGCCAGAGTCCATCATTTGCAGCTATCCAAAAAGTAACTGGCATAATTATTGTTGAAAAACATACTTGGTTGAAAGATAGTAAGGGGAATGAACTCCCTGTGAAATTATTCTTTCTGGCAAACTGTCATTTTGAAGAAATCAACAAAACAAGGCCTTTCCAACGGTGGAAAGCACCGTAGGAAATTCAAATTAGTAGTTCGTTTTGTTATTCGGCGAAGCGCGCGCAAGCATTGGCACGACGCACACGCGCCCTCGGTTGCTACAATTCGTCGGATCAGTACGTGACATCGCGTAGCTGCAATCGGCTCAGTGAGAACGTGTCTCGGATGCTGGACTCGGGCCCAATTCAAAACATAATTCAGCAACTTTTGATTTGAAATTGAGATCCTAGAATGTTGTTTTTCTCAAAATATACAGCTAAAGCTGAGCTGAAACTTCATCAGGTTAGTTGTTTAGTACCCTTCTTTAGATCTTGAGCACTTTTGTTGCTTCAAACGAACAAAATGCACAAATTACAAATGATGGACTATACCTTTAAGTCTGATCTTCCTGAACAATGCTGGGCAAAAATTTGGGCATTCTTGTGGCGAGGGTTCTTGTTAATCGATGTTCAACAGTGATATGGGGCGCCAATTGTTAACGCGTATTTGGTGTAGTGGAACCCTATATAAGCACCGCACTATTATTATTATATTCTAGTGTTATGTTCAAAAAGAATAGTTAAACTGTTAAACTGATTACATTATGAAACTAATAACACTTTACTTTTAATTTTTGCTCAGAGGTTGGAAAATCTGTGTCGCTACATTCTAGCCTGCATGGATAAGGGTGATCCTAAGGTAAGACCATGCATTGCACAATTCTGCAATACGTCTTGGTAGATATTTTGCACAGGATCTAGGAGTGTTAGGCCGAATATCCGTATGTCCGTTAAGTGTAGTGAGCACTGCGTGATGCTTAAAAATCATTCGTTCGAAAAACAGTATGTATACATCCATGTATCCGTATTGCGCTATCCGTGCTGCGTTATCCATTGAAATGGTATACGCTTCAGGTAGCGATTGACATGGTTGACGCATCCAATACGCATGACATTTGTTGCCTGCAAATTGAAGAAATGAAGTGGTGGGCCAAAAAGATAAATATTTAAAGTTGGCCTAAAAAGGAAGCAGTTTGTATGTGAATGTTATTGAAACAGGCTAGGGCCTGTCTTGATTTTAAATTTTAAATTTCCATTAATAAAACAGTGAATATTCATACCCTGTGTATCTTATTGAGAAGTCAAATCTTGACAATGTTTATTTCGTAAAAAGTCATTATGTACTTTGCCAAAACTAATACAAATTTGATGGAGACTTGATTTTTCTACTCGCAAAACTGCCACGTGCTATCTATTTGAGATTTTACGTCTTATAAAGTGTGCACAGAAATACTTAAGCATGGATAACAAATCAATTGACGATTAGTTTCTTATACAGATTGCTGTGACTGATTGTCATGGTTGATTATTTCCAGGTCTGGTATGTGTCGCTAGCGCTGTCCAAGGACCACGTGCTGCCGTGGATCAAACAACTGAAGTCCATTCTTGATCTGTGCTGCACGCGGCTGAAAGAACTGAAGGTATGCACAAAATCAGAATTGTCATGTAGTCAATCCCAATTTGAATCACAAGTCAGGTCGTTATCCCCTATAAGCGATGATTAAGACTTGTTAGAGTTCATTTGAATGGCTTGTCACAGGCCTTGAGACTGGATGATGCGTGAGTAACTTGTGATCGACTCGACTGTATTGCAGCTCTGATACAAAAACGTTATGACTTAAGCGTGCATACCATGGATGCGACCATTGGCAAAGCTACACGTGCTTACTTTGCCAATACATTTTCTCAGCCGTATTTTCCGCTTGGTAGATTATTGACGTTAGGCTTGGATTGATAAACATGTAGTGTAATTCGCCGAATGCGGCATGAATGCGGCATACTCATGCGTATGCCGCACGTGTTCTTAAAGACGAGGCGCGGCTGCATTTTGGTAGCCCTATTGGTAGAAGGAGCCCAGAGTGCATACGTATTACCTGAGCGTGATCTGCGTGAGCCTGGTGCCATCGCAGAAAACGGCTGCCGCCAGATTAGTCTATACCGGGTACTAGACCATTATCATGTTGCAGCCATCTTGATTTTTTTCCCATCCAAATCAACGTAACCAAAGCGAGGCTGGAAGGAAAAATAGTCTGGTTCCTTTTTGCGCAAGCAACATTATCATTCAGTACTGTTATTAGATACAGGGAACATGACTGAAATGGTGGCAGCATGAAAAAGGTATCTTCTTTTCTATTCTCCTGACTCTGAATCATCTGTTGATGCCAAGGATTAAAAGTGCCCCATTTTGGTCTTTAATTGTTGCAGCCTGAATCTCCGGTGGATGCCAAGGTCATTACTCTCTACCTCCACATGTTGGTCACATTCACTGATACCACGACGTGGAAGATACTCAAGGTACAAGGAGGTATGTACACATAAAACCCGTCTCCTGCATTTTTCTGTATGGGCTCCGTGCAAAAGAACCCCTTCAACGGCCAGAAAAGGAGAAAAAAAATGGGGTAGACTTGGACTGGTTCCCCGATCCATCCACTGCATATTTCGAATGATCCAAAGTTATTGGGGGCGGGGATTAGTCTGGGAGACCATCACAAGTTAACTTTGAATGTATTCGTGCACTGACGCAATGATTTAGCTTTGTGCACATTCAGAATAAAGAAGTCGTGTGTTCTTCGCGGATGAACCAGTCCCGGTACGCACATGCGGTGTCCCGTCCAAGTGGCTCTCAAAAGTGGTAAAAATGTGCCCTCTTTTGTTGGCGCACGGAGCCCATAGCCATGATCATGTTGGACTTTTTTTTAGTAAAGCTCACCTAGACGATGAGTACTTTTGCTCATTTTAAGTCCAATGCAAACAGCCCAGAAAGGTGTCCTCTTTGTTACTTTTCCCAAGTCCAGTGGTTACTCTTACCGCCCAACGTATGCCCAGGAAAAGTGACCTTGTCACCTTCCTGATACGAAAAGTAAAACAGGAAAACTGTCCGAGATTGTGCCAAGGTCACACTACACAGGCACACTGCGCATGGCTGTGCGTGATTTCTTAGGCTGGCATTTTAATCGTTTTCTTCACACACAGCGTTCGATTTTCTGTTCAACTTTGTTTCTGAAAGTCCTCGTAGATATTATGGACATGATTGCACCTTCTAATATATTCTGTAACAAAGTATTTATTTGTGATATTAGTGAGCAACGTTCCATAATGCCATACGGTATGACGATCGAGGATATTACGACATATTTATGCCCAGATCGGTTCGTTTAGCCACGGTCTCTGTAAAATTTTCCTGAGTACAATATTCAAGTGCAGACACTGTTGAGATTTTACCCCTTCGGTTTTTGTCATCATCTTGGTCAAATCTTGTAAAAATGTACTCCAATGTGAACACGGCTTTAGCCTCGGAGTGTTCACCCATATTTTTCCATAATTTTTAACCAAACATTTTCTTTCCACAGCGGAGGCTTTGAGACCAAGCCTGAACCAGCTGTGCTCCAATGTCATGGGTCACCTCAACACCAGGGGTCTGTTCCCCATGTTGCAGCAGTTATTGGTGCAGGGCCTGGCCAGGAGGAAGCCGTCGCTGTCACACACGATGCTGTCAGCACTCTTTACTATTGCACTGCGGTACGTCCATGCTGCACTATGAGGCCACATCCAAATTATTTCAAAAAAATGGAAAGTGAGGCTTGGAACGCATAAATAGTCTGGCACCATCCCATTCAACAGTTTACAAGGCCTACTTACACATACATTGTACGTGATTCTGTCGCAACGACTATGTCGCACGGCAATATCGCACACTGGCATGTGTGAACAAACAAATACGTGATATGTTGTGCGATTTTTGAAATTAGCGCTATAAATCGCACTACTTTGTCGCTTAAATGTAAACCCGCCAATTGATCTTTGCCTATTATATAACAACTTGCAAAATTGTCATGCGACAAAATTGGTAAGGGTAAATACAGTTCAGGGAACATGATCAAAAATGACTTCCTTGTGAGTAAGGTCTATTGCCATGCAGTAAGTCCACGCTTGTGCTTTATCATCACTAAACAAGATGAATCAGGTAGAGTGGGAAAATTGCAAGCACTATAAGTGTGCTTCTCAGCAACCCCCACACACCTGAAGCGTCAAAGAAGGAAACACGAAACAATCCAGAGACAACAATGAAAATAACTTGGGCAAGTGAGTGGCATTATATTTCTCTGGAATGTAGTCGTATTTGCCTCCTGTCTATCTTAGGATCATAGTGTCAGTCAATTCATTTTGTGTATCTGCAAACTTGTCCCAAGATATTCTATCTGCCATGCAGAGCCTTGAATCACATGTGCATTTTACACCTTGCGATATACTGCTGTGATATGTTAACAAGTTTTTCTTTTCTTGCAGGCCTTTAATTGCGAGTAAGTTTTCCGACAATTTGGCCAGCCTGTTCCACCTGTATGTGTTGTCTGTACCAGCTCTGGTGCTGCACCTAACGTCCATTGCACCCGAGGTAAGAAACGTTATATTACAAACCAAATGAGTTTTCTTACAAGTACGGGACCATTTGTTTCGACTCTGGAGAATTATCCACAAAAAGCATTTGTGGAAAATATGACCAAACACTATGATCTACTTTGTGGAATGTATTAGAGGCCCCAGCTTGTGTTTTATATCCATCTGAATGGACTACCAAGATGTTTCTAACAGTTGGGCCAACATGTACCGTAATTTTCGGAATTTAAGCCGCGGCTTATACGTTGATTTTGCCCATGAAAATGTTTACTGCGGCTTATACACAGGGCGGCTTATACGCCGAGCCTTGAAGATGTCGTATTTCGAACACATTTCGAGCAACAAGCGCGTGTGTTTGGAACATTTTCAACACTGCGCATAATGCGTGCTTGATTGCGTAAAATACGCAGTTGCAGCTCTCCTACAGAGATGGCCGTCATTGAGCGAGCCCTATTGCACCTTCTAATATATTCTGTAACAAGGTATTTATTTCTGATATTAGCGAACAACGTTCCTTAATGCCATACGGTATGACGATCGAGGATATTACGACTGATCGCGTGGACACATGTTGATGCCTAGATCGGTTCCTTTAGCCACAGTCTGTAAAATTTTCCCGAGTAAAAAATTCAAGTGCAGACACTGTTGAGATTTTACCCCTTCGGTTTTTGTCATTATCTTGGTCAAATCTTGTAAAAAAGTACTCCAATGTGAACACGGCTTAAGCCGAGCCTTGAAGAATAAAAATGAAATTCACATGTGTATTTAATGTACATGTACTGGTTTAAGAAGAGATATGTTGCTGAAATGAATTATCAATTAAGAAAGTCATTAACGAACCGAAACCACGTGCCACGTAAAGGTGCCGAGCGGTTAAAAGTACGGTGAAAGTTGTCTTCGATCGACGCTTGCAACAAGCCGTACGTGATTCTAGTGCTGCTGCATGCAGCATGCTTTCCCCAGCGGACCACACCATTTGAGGTAATATAGGGGTGTACTATCTTGGAAACAATAATTACCAACATTTCCGCTGTTTAAAAAAAGAAAAAAGCGACTAATACTTTTTATGGTGTCCGAAACATTTCTTTATTCGATAATCAGTTGTTCAACGTCACAATATAATTTTTGTACTTGAAATGTATTCAAGAAACAATGTAAACCTCAAAACAGGGACTACATCACCCCTTACAAAATTAATGGATTCGTCCATGAAAATGGCAGCATCGTTTTGACTATTTTCGAGGAAAGTTACGATCGAAACTTGAATACTGCTCGTTAGTAATCACAAAAATTTGATAAGTTTTGAGATAAAAACGGACCTGTATATTTTTAGGACAAAATAAATCAGCATCTGTTGCCACAAAGCAAGATTTGTACGTAGCGCTCCAGTAAGACAACACACGCAATGGGGGAAATCACGGTGGGTTGCATACTCTCTCACGTGCTGTAGAAAATTTGTTGTCATAGGCCGGCGCAGGCTGCCGCGCCGGGCGATGTATTAACTTTTACGGCCAGGGAACGGACGGGGCAGCCGGCAGCAATTCCCGGTGTTTATTTGTGAGAGTATCGATTGTAAATGATTTGATACAACTTTTGTGGCCCTTTTTATAGCTTCTGTAGTGTAAATGGAACTGGTTCAGAGCATTTTGGCTAGAATTTGGAGGCCTTAGAAAATTGAAACCGCTGCCGTCGGTGCGGCTTATACGCCGGTGCGGCTTATACTCTGACTTCAAATCTTAATTTGCAGATTTTTGCGTGCTGCGGCTTATATGCCGCGCGGCTTATTTTCCGAAAATTACGGTAGTTAGGTACATGTCATAAAAATGAGAGAAGATGCTTCAGCAACAAATCAAATCAAATTCAAGTTTAATATCCACACTAAAGAGTATAGAGATTCAGCTTCCACTGGCATTTCTGAACAATGACATTACATAAAACCACTAAGCTAATATATAGTTCAATATCACTATAACTCACTCGAGAATGGTGCCACCACTGAAAATGTCTTTTAAATTAATCAAAGTCTTTAACTTAATCGTCAGTTTGATGCTTACTCAAATAGACTAACTTGGCAACAGCCATTTTCAGCGATGACACCATTTTCGTATGAGTTGCACCCAGGTAGTACGCATGCACCCTGAATTAACCAAATTTAATACCAAGATGCGTGCGGGCCCTGTCTTTAACAATGCATGCGGCATAAGCGTGAGCAGGCACCACCGCAAAAATGGCTTCTAATTTTGTACAGCAAATTCCAGTATAAGCTTCCAGTTTTGCACTTTTTGCAGTGCATCGTCTCCATCAAGACCCATAACCTCTTCAAGCAGAGCCTGGACTTTCTTGCCAAGGAGCAGAACACAAAGATCATCTTCAATGTTCTGGAGGGAAACTATGCACTGTGCCTACTAGGTAAAGTTCATATCTTGACTTGCCAGCGCTAATTATTTGAGAGTGAAGATACCCCCTCCCCAGTTGCACAACACAACTATTGTAGAACAATGCCTTTTCCATGAGTTTGATTTGAAAACAAAAACAGAATACAACTGCTCTTTAATGTGAGCACAATGTCGAAGACGATCAAGCATATATATCTGACATAATTAAAAAATTGTTTTATTTACATTTGTTAATTTTGGAATTTTCTATTCCTCTTTGCAGCCAACTTAATATACATGGGCCAACTGGAACAGCAGGTAATCATGGATTTTTTTACTTTTTGTCTTTTTTTCCCAATTACTTTTGAAGTTGTCATGGGGGTCACGAAGGGGAGGGGGGTGCAAGGGGGCACTTGTTGTGTCCCCCCCCCCCCCCCCCCCGGAAAAGCAATAAAAAAAAAATATAAAAAAAAGGAGAGAAAAAAATTAAAACAGAAAGACGTGTGAAATCATATTGCTATTAATTTAATACACATTTAACAAAATGGGCGTCCACAGGGGTGTCAATGGGGGTAGGGTGGGCAAATTTCCCCCCGCCCACCCTCAAAAAGTGATAAATTGAGAATATGCTAGAGAAAGTACAAGGATTTTGGGGACAAAATGTGCTTTTGCCCCCTCCAGAAAAAATCCTGGCGATGCCCATGGAAATTGTCAAAAAGATTTGAATATGAAAGTCTGTTGAAATGCAAATGATATTTTCCTCTCAGATCTAATAAAGTATCGTTAGTTTTTCCAGCATGTAAATAATCAATTCTTTGAATTGCAATATAAAAATTGTATACAAATGTTTTAAGCATGACAATGATTGTAAATACAGTTTGTGTACACCTTTTCTTCTTGTTAATGAGTCAAAAACATTTTGAGTTGAAATTTTCATTGAATCCTTCCATTTCTCAGGTTCTCTCAAGCAATGTTCAAGTTTTTACGGTGAGTGTAGACACCTTATTGAACACATCCCTTATGAGTTTCGCATTTATGTATTATCCTATTCAATTTGTTTGCCATCTCTGTCTTAACTAGATATAACATAGCACACAGGGCCCTAATGGTTTCTGCTAACTGTAAGCAAAGAAGCACAGGTATTCGTGGCAAATAACCTGTACTTACAGTAAACAATTTTTGTGGATTAGCAAAGAACTTCTGGTTATTTGCGTATTAAGTGTTAATCACATAATTCTGTGCTTACAGGGTTAACCAGTTCGCGCCGGGATTATTTTGACATTGACAAGACCCAGGCGCGGAATTGTTTTTCACAAACCTTGATACCAGACGGGTTCAGGCCAACATGCAGGTAGAACACGCTGCAAGCGGGTTGCTAACAGATATTTCCGGCCTTGCTCATTGCATATCCCTCGTCCATTCCGTATACGGAAAAAAAAACCTTTGCGTGTATACATGTCATCCGACGTGAACTGGATAACCCAGAATCTCTGTACCAGGGATGTAGGCACAAAAACAGTGATCATAAACATGGAATTCAGCAGTTAGCAGAACCAAAATATAAGCGAAGGTTGCCTTGTCAAGTTGAAGCTAGAGACCATGTCCGAATCTCTTTTCTAGAGATAACATGTTCTTTGTCCATTACAAAAAGTTTGTGGGTAAATGCCGACAATAGACCATTATCGTGTTGCAGTCATCGTGATTTGTTCCCATTCAAATCAATGTAACCAAAGCGAGGCTGGAAGGGAAAATAGTCTGGTTCCTTTTCGCACAAAAAACATCATTTAGTACTGTTATTGGATACAGGGAACATGATTGAAATGGTGGCCACATGATAAAGATCTATAGACTTAGCCGTAGCCCCGGACGCCCATATTGGACTCAGCATAAGTTTCTTGAAACCTTTTGTTTTTTGTTGAACAGCGAGTGACTGTCTCCTTACTCACCCATTGCCAAGGCTACGTGGGCAAGAAGAAATCACACACAACTCAGTGGCACCCTGTACTTGGTTGGTTCTCCCAGCCCACCGACCACAGGTAGTACAACCGGTATCCCAATTGCGTGACCTCAGGTTAACATCCAACCCTAGTAAATGAGGAATATTTGGCGATTCCATATCGTAGATATGCTTCGTTCGTATACACTTTAGGTTTGTTTGTACCTTCCCAGACCACTATATTTTGGTCACTCTTTGAGATTACATGAAATCTATAGTACATGTAAATACTTGAATGTATACGTGGCAAGAATCGAGTTGCTAGACATCCTTTTTTAATTTGTTTTCTGCTTTTGTTTTTTTTATTTTAAGACAGAATTTTCTAAACTCTATTTAATTTCGACATTTTCCATTTTTTTTCTCAAAAGACCTAACAATAGTGGACCCCCGCAGTGTTGAGCACCTTGCAAAATTTCTTGTTTTCTATCTACAGATGTTACAAAAGAGAGAAATTAAATGTGACTTAACTTTCATCTTGTTGGAGAAGACAATGTAATAAGTATACAGATGGTTTACATAGATCAAATAAAATATTAAGTAAAAGTAAAACTTAGCCAATTAGTATCAAAGAAGTGTTTAACAAATTTGGGTTAATTTCTGGCCTTTTTTCTTATCTTGTAATTGTAGGTTACATGAAGCCATGGTCTTTGTGGTCAAGCAGTTAAACATGTTATGGGGCCAGCAGATATTGCAGGCAGTATTCCTTGACATTCTGAAGGCGGCCCCTGAACAGGAATCCTCAGGAAAGTCGCCAGCGCCTTCCTCAACAAAGACACATTCAAAAGGTTTGTTTCTTTTCTGCGATTTCATGGATTTTAAGAAATAATAAAAGAGAAGGCATTCAATTTCATTCTAGCAAATTCTGAGACCTTGACAAGTTTGAAGTAAGAAAACAATCTAAGACTTAAAGTTGATGAGAGGGTTGCTCGTGTAGGGCCACTGATTTCCGCTTCACCAGAAACAGAACATCTTGGACAAACCCTAACTTTGGACATTTAATAATTTCTGTAACCATTTTTCGATTTCAAGCATAATGTACAGCTTATGACAGTTTTGTAGCTACAATCGGCTGAATGAGAAAATGTCCCGGATGCTGATTTTGGGCGCAATTCAAATACGACTCTGCAACTTTTGAATTGAAATTGAGATCCTAGAATATTGTTTTCTCGGAATAGACAGCATTCACTGAGCTAAAACTTCATCAGGTTTCAATTTTCACATGATGTATTCAAATCGCTGTTCACAGTGAGTGTTTATCAATAGTGAAGGGGAACTTGCCAAAGAGTCCCTACGATACAAACAAGTCTGCCGTCGCCAAATCTCCAATTATCTTACCCTGTGTGAACTTTCCTGGCTTGTTAATAGTCTCTTCTTCCTTCCAGGTGGAAGTTTCTTGAGGCGGCTGCAGAGGACCACCTCCAAGCTTGGCACGCAGAAGGGAGGCAAGAGCCTACAGTCAGCAGAGGTTATCGCCGTGTGTAACGTGTGTGATATGTACCAGACAGCCATCGCTACACTGACGGAGCTGAGACGAGAGATACTGACTGGTAAGATCTTACATACGAAACGTTGAAAGGGATTGAAGACATACAGCAAGAAACTTTTGATAAGACTTGAAGGTTTGCATGGTGAAGGCATTTTTCTGCAGCAGCTCCAGATCAGCGCAATTTGGTCTCTACCTTCACAGGTACCCATTTATACTCCTGGGTGGAGAGAGGCAATTGTAGTAAAGTGTCTGGCCCATGTGCCCTGTCACATTTTGAACCCAGGTACCACGGCACATGAGTCGAAACACTGTACCCATTGGACCACAGCGCCCACACAAACATGTGATATGCGCCATGCAATATGGATTGTGCACCATGGGATAATACCACTGCCAATCAGGATTGAGGATTCAAGCGTGCTCGAAGATAAATGGTGCTACAGCCACCCCGTTACCAAATTGATTCTCCATCATTTTTGATTTTTGGATTGTATTTTATTTCCATGCTTTCTGACACATAGTAGTGAACCAAATAAACTAAATATAAATAAAGGTAACAATTCAAAAGAAATAAATGAACTGAAATAATTAAATGAAAATTCAAATAAATTAAATTAATATAAAATCTAAAAAAATAAAGAAGAAAGTACGGAGGCATTTTCTTGAAGCGAAAGCTTGTACAGACATGCCTTGTGCAAATAGTTTATAACCCGAGAAAAAAAACACAGAGAGAGTCACGAACAACGTACACAATGACAAAAACATGGACTAAGACAATAACGAGACTGCAAAGAACAAAACAAAACAAGAACACACAAACACACAACTATACAAATTGTTGAAAACAATAAACATGGTGAGGAAAGGGGAGAATAAAAAAAATCTTAACAAATAGCCAATGAGATCAAAGAAGCTGCATTACATAATTTGAGATTAAAGCCCTTGTAATTTCGTTTGAATTGGCCAACGGATGACTGGCCACGAATGGATTCGTCCAAAGCATTCCAAAGACGCGGGCCGTAGTATTTCAAAGTGCTGAGGGCCGTAGTATTTCAAAGTGCTCATGTATATCTTCCACCCATATTGAAATATTCAACTTCCCAACTCTCTTCACGACACAGCTGATTACATGCTAGCACCATTGGGGCATCATTGAATGAGTCAGCTGTTGATTGATCTCTGATCTTTTTCCTGTAGGTCTTAGCTACCGTGACCTCCTCTTACCCAGACTTTGGCATTTCATCGCTGAGCTGGGTCCCCATGGTGGTCTCAAGCTGTTCCAGGAGTGCCTGTCGTCCTCCATGGACTCGCACACTATCCTGTCTGTCTTGGTCCTCTTCTGCGACGTGGCCAGCTACTTAATTCCGTAAGCACAATAACCAAATCCTACTATCTATAGCCTTTTGGCCATTTTATTTTGTCAGTAAAACTACCTTGGCTCTACGTCCACAGATCTTACCTGGATTATATGAGGTGTCCATTCTGCACTTTATGAACTTTGTGTATTTCTCTACCCTCAGCTTATAATAATTTAATGTTAACCCTAACCGAACTCAACCCATCAAATTTCAACAGCAGGTTTGTGTTTACATCTGTTGGGATAGGTACAGTACCCCTAAACAGATGGTCTTTTACACTGGGGTTTGCATACCTCCAGAAACTAAGTCCAACAGTGTGTGTGTACAATTTCCCATGTGGGTGTTGGAATTTGCCTGAATGGGTACGGTTCCTAGTAAATTAGGCTGGGGAGTTAGGGTTAATGTTCCAACGGAAAATTTAGTACCATCTTAGCTTAGCTTTCACACCTGGGTGTGCTCATAGCTTTTTTGAAATATGATGGATGTAATAGAAGGATGCAATCTACAGGGTGGTCCCAAAAAAAGTTTCAGATACAAATTTCTGAGAAAACAGCATTGAATATAAAGTCTAAATTAAGAAACGGCAGCCATTTTCTAAAAAATGGTCAAAAACCAGTTTGTCCACACGCATGAATGGGATACGGTCATTGTTATTGCAGCTCTTTGTGCATGCAGTGCTTTTGTTTTGACCATATTTCAAACTGGTGTTGGACTATTTTTCTGTAAATGGGAACATCACTGTTTCTACTGGCTTTATGCTATGTAGATTCTGCACAGACTTGCATTGCAGTGTTTATCCGGTCAAATCAGTCTTTCCGTGTTATTTCCACAGGATTCTGGATGATGTTGAGTTCTATGATCAGCAGATCCCATTCCATCAGGATGACTTGATTGCAGTCACAGCATTCCTCAATGCTTTCGTCTTCAAGATGATATGGGAGCATGGCATAGGTATGTGCAAATTGTGAAAAAAATTAACTTTAAAACCAACAATGGGATTTTATGTGTGGCACCAGTGGATCTAAGATGAAATGAGCGGCAAATGAAAAAACACCGTTTGCAGCTATGCAAAAGTAACTGACGCATTTAAAGATGGTAATGGCACTAAACTTCCTGTGAAATTATTTCTTCTGGCATGCTGTCATTTTGAAGAAAACAATGAAAGAAGGCCATTTCCAATGATGTGTCAGGTGACGCATTTTTGGAAATTTCCGTTAGTAGTTGGTTTGTAATTCGGCAAATCCGTGAATGGGTGCACGTAATTGTTGACGCGATGCACACGTGCGTGCAGTTGCTATAATTCGTCGGTTCAGTGCGTGACATCCCGTAGCTGCAATTGGCTGAATGAAAACGTGTCCCGGATGCTGATTTCAGGCACAATTCAAAACATGACTCGGCAATTTTTGAATTGAAATCGAGATCCTACAATATTATTTTCTTGGAATAGACAGCATTCACAGAGCTAAAACAAGGTTAGTTGTTAAGCACCCGTATTTAGATTTTGAGCACTTTTGTTGCTTCAAACAAACAACATGCACAAATGACAAATGATCTACCATACCTTTAACATCTACCTTATGCCAAAAAATCTCCATCCATTCCAATTTGGGGCGCTGTGGTCTAGGTTACGGTGTTTGACTCGTGTGCCGTGGTACACGGGTTCAAATCCTGACCGTGGGAACATGGTGCTTGTGCTCTTGAGCAAGGCACTTTACCATTATTGCTTTGTCCTTTGGATGGGACGTAAAGCCGTAGGTCCCGTGTGTTGTGTAATGCACGTTAAAGAACCCAGTAACACTTGTCGCTAAGAGGAGGGGTTTGCCCCGGTGTTTCTGGCAGTGGCAGCAATTATGCGCCACAGTACCTAGCAAAAAGGTGCTTCATAATGGGTCTCATATGTTCATATACTTCATTTACCTGGCTTTGGTTGCATTCTCCCCCAGCGCTTTGTATCCTCTGGCAAAAAGCGCTATATAAATACAGTTATTAATTTCTTCCATTTATTCCACGATGACCCAGACGGCACAGTGAAGCAAGCCAGCCTGTACAGCTCCACCCACTCCCTACTGAGCCTGCTGTATGATAGGGACTGTCGGCGACGGTACGCCCCACCCAACCACTGGCTGATCAAGGACCTCAAACTGACCACATTCAGGGCGGAGCTGGAGAAGGGGAGTAAGAGGACCACGCTTATCCTGCAGCGGATGCCGCACGTCATCCCACATAGAGAGGTATAGTCACAATTAGCCAAGATGTGCACTTGTTGTATATGACTCCCAGCACAAAACCAGTTGGAAAGTGCACATTGTACAAGCAAAAATGATTGAAATTAAGATTTAGGCATAAGAAGTTAGAATAAAGAGTATATTTTACTTTCAGTGAAGGAAAGTTCCTATGGATTTCATTTGAGAACTTTAAGGATAACATCCTTGATTTAAAAAAAGAAAGATTCTGAGACCCGAAAATTAATTAGGATGAAAATACCTATAACTCTGTCAGATTTTGTCAGATTCCATATTCTATACATTATTGGAAAGCTTATTCAATGCCCTTTCCAGTGAATTTATTCAGTGTCCTTTCTCAGAAAATCAGATGATTGTTGCTATTCTAGGGAATCAGTTTTGATTATATGAGGTCAACATTTTGTTTTTGTCCAGCGTGTGATGTTATTCCGCAAGAGAGTAGCAGAGGAAAAGAAAGCCCTTGGCTTTACAGAGACAGCCAGCCACTCGCCTCACTCAACACTCATCACTGTACACAGATCCAGACTAGTAGAGGTGAGTCAAGGTACCAGACATGATAAACACTCGGCTCCACTCAGACAGCAAGCCACTCCCCTCACTCAACACTAACTACAGTACACAGAGCCAGACTAATAGAGGTGAGTCAGGATACCAGACATGATAAACACTCGGCTTCACTGAGACAGCAAGCCACTCCCCTCACTCAACACTAATTACAGTCCACAGAGCCATACTAATAGAGGTGAGTCAGGATACCAGACATCATAAACACATGGATTCACTCAGACAGCAAGCCACTCCCTTTACTCAACACTTATACACAGGGCCGGACTACTAGAGGTGAGTCGAGGTACCAGACATGATAATCACTTGGCTTCATTGATGAAGCCCTAGCTATCACTAAAATTTAGCTTGAAAAACTTCCACACTGACGACAATTCTGTTTGACTCTCTCGATGGCATTTATATCCTTTTTGTACATTTCCTTACAGGATGGGTACCAACTGCTAGCTGGTCTCTCGCCTCAGACATTCAAGGGCCTTATCAGAGTCAGGTTCATCAATATGCAGGTAGGATAGCATGTTGGCTCCATGGTGGTTTTTTTCTGTTCTCTTGACAGTGACAAATTTTTAGGCTTATTGTTTTGTGAGCTAAAACCCTGCAGCATATTTTTCCTTGTTGGTAATCGTAGTAAAAAAATTTCCACTACAGCCAAAACATTACACATTAGTGAGCTGCTTGGTGCAGACGAAGTATGATGTAAGTCAACTACATCGTGCCAAATATGGTTTTGTTGTTTTATTCAGTGATCAACTCATTGCAAAAAAATAGACAATACGCAAATTAGCATCATGTAATTTAGCCATCTTTACAGTTGCAACTGCAAATTATTTGTCTGCAGATTTTAATTTTTTGTTCGAACGACCAACCCTTCTTCAGAGGCAAATAAATATGAGAAACAGAGAAATATAAAGGGATGCCCTTACATTCATTCCTCCATAGTTAGGGCCACATCATACAAGATTGCACCCTCCCAAATGAAAAGGGGTCAATTTTAATTGAGCTCACTTGTAAGTTCATGTGTTATTACACAGATATTCAACATGATGTGCCAAACAATTCCTCTTATTTGCTCCTTCCAACGTAATTTCCATGTGCTGTGTGCAGGGGCTAGATGAGGCAGGTATTGACCAAGACGGTGTCTTCAAGGAATTTCTAGAAGAGATCATCAGAACTGTCTTTAACCCAACACTCAACTTGTTCAAGGTGAGCTCGGATTTTTACTCTTTGATTGTGGAATTAATTTACCTTATACTTAACGGAAAATGGGGAGTCAGGTTGGCATAGCAGTACAGTCCTCGCCTTCCACCGCTGTGACCTGGGTTCGAATCCCACTTGGGCCAATATGTAAATTGGGTTTTCAGTCCCTGCCTCATTACATGGGTTCGCGCATGGAGCCTTTAGCTCCATCTTACACTGATGTAACAACTCTTTTGTTTGCGAATTATAGCTGGTATCTGAACTATTATTTGTACTAGAATTAATTTATCAGGCTTTTTTTTGGGCAGACTACCAGTGACCAGCACCTTTACCCCAGCCCCACCTCCTCCATCAATGAGAACCATCTGGGCCTCTTTGAGTTTGTCAGCAAGATGCTCGCTAAAGCTGTTTATGAGGTGAGTCACATAATTTGCTCAGGTTTTTCTAAGCAAAGCTTTTCTGCACGTGGAAACACATCTAGTTTAAACAGTACCATACCCCTGTGCGTTTAATCTCCCTAGTGTATCTAGAAATGGCACATTTCCTCCCAGTTCTATTTCGTTTGGATACTGCAGCCGATTTCACGAAGCTTTACGCAATGGCGTAAGTCGACTTTCGCCACAATTTATTGCGTAAGTTGCACAACATTTCGTGCTGCGCAACATTTCAGTTATGACAATTTCAGGAAAGTTTCATAGTGCGTAAGTCCTCGACTTGCGCAACGATTTATGGCGTATCTTGCGCAGTCGTTTTAGATGGCGTAAGCTGTAGCATAGCGACTGAAATGACCAGCAAACCGTGATCGTCGTGGAGCCTGTCATTATACAAGTTATCAAGGTTGATGCAAGACGTTCACAGCTTTGTATGTGAAGTATATGAATTGCTATTTACAGTATAGCAGTGATTCTTTAATGAGTCCCTTTTTCCTTCTCTGTGCATCATTTTCTTCAGGGTATCGTTGTGGAAGTACCTTTCGCTTCCTTCTTCCTGAGCCAGATGCTGGAGCAGCAGCACAATCAGCTCTACAGCCCCATTGATGAGCTGCCTTCCATGGATGCTGAGCTGTACAAGAACCTCACCTACGTCAAGGTAAATTGGTACAGCGGTACTTATCTCTCCTCAAATTATTAATTTTTTTATCCTTATTTATCAAATTGTTTACTCTGTTTCTCTTTTTATCCAGCATTACGAGGGTGACATCTCAGAGTTGGACCTAGTTTTTTCATATGATGAGGACGTAATGGGCAGGATCCACACCCATGAACTGGTACCCGGAGGCAAAGCAATGGCAGTCACAAACGAGAACAAGTGAGGAACGAAACCATAATATCAGTTGTTCAAGTGTAGTTTTTTGTACAAAGGGTTGCCTGTAGTTCATATCTATAATCCACATTGGGATGTGTAGTGCTGAAGTCCAGCACTCTCCTAGGGCCAGGCTAACTGCCTCAAATTGATCAGGTTAGGCTTGAACAGAAACTAAAATAATTTGAAATTAAAAGCGAAGGCTGTATTGTCAAATAACACGATAAATTCAAGATCATGTACTATCACAGCTTGAAAACTCCTATTCCTTTTGGAACAAAGTGCTGTTCAACTGATAATGCAGATTTTCTTTCTATAGACTGTTTGCATGCAGCAGCCATCTTTGTGGTGGTTTGGTTATTTTAATTAAGTCACAATGATTGCACAAGAGGTCTCATCACGCATATCCCTGTGGAATAAATACACACACCTCAAAGATGGCTGCAATGCAAAGGATCTATACCTAGCCTAGGGGTCTTTAAAGGTATAGTCCATCATTTTTAATTCGTGCATTTTGTTCGTTTGAAGCAACAAAAGTGCTCAAAATCTAAAGAAGGGTGCTGAACAACTAACCTGATGAAGTTTCAGCTCAGCTTCAGCTGTATATTTTGAGAAAAAACAGCATTCTAGGATCTCGATTTCAAATCAAAAGTTGCTGAATCATGTTTTGAATTTGGCTTGAATTCAGCGTCCGAGACACGTTCTTACTGAGCCGATTGCAGCTACGCGATGTGGCGCACTGATCCGACGAATTATAGCAACCACGCGCGCTTGTGCGTCGTGTCAACGCTTGCGCGCGCTTCGCCGAATGAAAAAAACCCCGAATTACTAACGGAAATTTCCAATGGTGCTTCTTAAGACTCACCGTTGGAAAGGCCTTCTTTCGTGGAGTTTAGTCCCCATACTATCTTTCAACCAAGTATGTTTTTCAACAATAATTACGCCAGTTACTTTTTGGATAGCTGCAAATGATGGACTCTGGCTTTAACAACTTCAGACAAAAAAACCTTTACTAAGAATTTTGCATTTGAGACACACCCTAATCCTTTCCCTGACAGGATCAGCTATATCCACCTGATGGCCCATCACAGACTGTACCGGCAGATCTGGGAGCAGACTAAAGCCTTCAAGCGAGGCTTCCGGTCCATCATCAACCCTGAGTGGTTGTCCTGGTTCTCGGGGCCGGAGCTGCAGAGGCTCATCTCGGGCGACAATGCTGAGATCGACTTGGCCGACCTCAGGTCAGTTCTTATTTGTCGTTAGCTGACTGTTTGGCACAATTAAATCAACCTCATGATCCACCGTTTCTGTTTGATTTATCAGTTAAAGCAGCTGAAGATTATATTTTTTTCATTAGATTGAATTTTTGTGTTGGGTGATGTAAATTAGAAATGTGCTTTTTGCCCTTCACCGACGTAGTTTTATAAACACTGTATACTCAGTGTTGTCCCGAGTGATTGTGAGAAAAATCTCGGGTGGGACTCGAACCCACAACCTCTTGCTTACTAGGGCAGACGTCTTACCACTCGACCACCAAGCTTGCCGGGATTGGCTGGCTGGTTCGAATCTGATATAGCAGCAGGTACCGCAACTAATTTGTTTCTGATTTGTTGGATTAGATGCCACACTTTGCTGTTGTTGATTTTTTAATTCAGTAAGATTTGCAGTCAAGTGAGAGTCTCATCAGAGTAAACTAAAAAGTTGCACGGAAAGTCTTGCAGAAGTATTTTTAATATGCAAGGATCAGTATGAAATTCTCCCAGTTCAAGTATAAAATGACATGGTTGAGATAATCTGTAAGGTTTGTGGACAATGCCAATGGGCTCCATGCGCCGAGAAGAGGGCGCCGTTTTACCTAGCAACGACGTCCCATGGGCAGGACATTTCGCTGGTTGACGCACGTACACCAGGGGATTTAAACTATGTTCACACGCAGTGGCCACGCTTCGCGGCAAATGAATTGCAGTCAGGCAAGATGGCATCAGTCGGTGACCCCCCACTGTACTCTCTTTGCCGGTGAGGGGGTACTTGTGAACGGAGCCGTGGAGTACAGAGGAACACTAGTAGAGGAAGAGTAGTACATTTAAAATTTTGGAGCTGAGTGTAAAGAATGACTCCTCATCAAACTGGTCTGCAAATATAAAATAACAATTTTATTTTATTTTTTCCAGGAAACACACTCAGTACTATGGAGGCTTCCACAACTCCCATCGTGTCGTCAATTGGCTGTTTGATGTGCTGGCAAATGAATTCACAGCCCAAGAGAGGGGGCAGTTTCTCAAGGTGAATCTTCTTAATCATTCTATGGGTTCTCTGCATGACCTGTAGAATTCGCTGTGTAGCCTGCTCCTGTGTGTTCAATAATTGCATGGGAAAAGTGGTTAGGGACCGTGACTATTCAACCCTGGTATGAAAAGGGCCCCCCCGGTAAGCTCGTCCCCTCCCAAGAAGTCCTCTCGTACCGTCCCAGCTACCAGCCCAGGAGCTGGTCCGGTTGCTAATCAGGAACTCCTCTATCCTGGGGTATATTGTTTGCAAGTATTGACACATGTAATATATCCCAGAAGAAACCTGCTTGTGGTTTTCATCACTCAGCGCGAAACAATAGAACGCTTTCGTCGGCACAGATCAAAACCCCTGCCATGCGATTTCACGCATAATGGGACTGTAAATTAAAAAGGCGTTTAGAAGGATTTTATCTTTAATCCGGTAAATCTGCTATTGTTCTGCTCTGGACGTTTTCTGAAGGGCAATAAATTGATGCGCCTGACTGTCTTCAAAACTTCTGGTCAGACAGGACCATGTACCGGACGAGACTGGGCTGAAGACCGGACTGGCTCTGGACCGGACGAGGTACCGGGGGGCCCTTTCCATACCAGGACTGAATGGTCACGGTCCCTTAGGGGCATCGAAGCCAAGATCTTCATGTGTGAAACCGTACGCTCAATGAGTATGCTCAACCAGCTTGTAACTGACTGTGCACAGACTCTTTCACTTTTAATAGGTTTTTGTACATACTCAGTGCAACACATGGGTTAACGAGTGAGCATAAACCATTACGTACTTGCAATCCGGTTCGTTAGTAAAACCGTCATACACGCGCGCGCACCACTGATTACTAGCGCCCATTGGATAAATGCTCAAGTTGCTTTAACTTCCGTTTCCATTCGTGCTATGCTGCACCGTGTAAAGTACGCATGATTTAATTGAGATGACGTAACAATAACGAGCCAGATAGTGGCACTCGTGAGTGTGCCACATAATGCCATCTGCATGTACTTTTCATGCAATTAGTCTGTTCACTCTAGAGAGACGAATGAGCTCACAGCAGAATTGTTGCTGAGTTAAGTAGCCTCATGAAAATAGTAATAGACCGCTCCACTCCGCCCCGCCCTATGGTGTTCTGACCAATCACAGCCCCGATAGATGTCCGACATGTGTGCACAAAGGTCCGTCATGTGTGTACAGATCTGATACACCGTGCCCTCTGGAGACATGCACACAATAGGGAACAAAGGATTGTATACGTCTCCACAGGGCAATTTCTATAGATTAATACGTCTCCACAAGGTTTTCACAAAATAGATATATGGATTTTACTCAAAAACTAGGAATTTCCAAGGTATGTTGATCTGTTGCAAACGGTAGAGTTTTAGAAAACGGATAGTAAGTCCGAATTTCAGCCAAGGAAATTAATTCTGGTTAAAATAAGAGCATTTTGAAACTGTACTTTCAAACTCGAAAACTTTAGTTCACGAGAACAAAGAAATGTCTCCACAAGGATACAAATTTCAGTACACCAGTACGCGTGTGTGATGCGCGTGGCTGGAACATGCAGTGTGGTATTGAAGAAACGCGCATATTGTTTCCCCATGTGCGTAATGGGAAGGGCTTCATCAATTGGTCTTTTTGGCGTGTGTACCAGAATGTGCCAAAGTTTTGTAAGAATCTCTTTTTGTATTAGTAATGTTCCTGTTGTTTTTTGTAGTTTGTTACGAGTTGTTCCAAGCCACCCCTACTAGGCTTTGCCCATCTGGAGCCACCCTTCTCAATACGCTGTGTTGAAGTCAGTGATGACCAGGTAAGAATATGTGTTAAATCTGAGATGTTATCCAGGCTATGGATTGTATTGGAGATTTACATTGAAAATGGTTCTTTAGGTTAAAACCCCTTTGCCACCGGTTATTACCCTTCTACCTTCCCTATTGCCATTGAATAATCTGTAGTTCAGTCCAGATATATTTTGTAAAGGTGCCATCCTTCAGGTGCCATGCTAAGATGTGATAGGGAACATTTATAAAACTTGCTATTCAATATTGGGATTTTCCCTTCAACGTCATAATTTTATTAGCACTGCATACTCTGTGCTGTCCGAGAGCTTGCAAAGAAAAATACACAAAAGTTTTAAAGTTCACAAACTTTTTGAAATAAAAAATCAAGCCGGCTACCTGATTATACAGTCATCTGAGCTTGTAAGCTGCAGGTTCTGGGTTCAAGTCCCACCCAAGTAAGCTTGTGAATTTTTGTATTGCAAGCACTCTGACAGTGTTGAGTGGAACGCTAATGATATTACGTCGGTAGAAGGCCTGCTACTCGGGCAAGCACCCAATCCACTCATGGACGATTAACTTGTCAACACACACACATACACCTTTTGCGCTTTATAGATAGTATAGTGTTGATGTCGTGAAATCCCATCGTGTGAGCTTCAGTAACTTTGAGAAAATAATTGCCATTGCTGAGGAACCAACAAGGAAGGGATCAGTGAATTTTCTTTGGTCTGTATATTTGCAGGATACCGGTGACACAGTTGGCAGCGTCCTGCGTGGGTTCCTACGCATTCAGAAGAGGGACCCAGTCGGCCGGCTCCCGACCTCCTCCACCTGCTTCAACCTCCTCAAGCTGCCCAACTACCACAAGAAAACCACGCTCAAGGAGAAACTACGCTATGCCATCACCAGCAACACAGGATTTGAGTTGTCGTAGAACACTGTTAACAATGCGGCCCAATTTTTAAGGCTCATCTGCTAACCAGGGAATTATGATCACCATGCAGTGTTCCTAGCAAAAGAATAAACACACAATCTGTAGTTACGGGATGTACACGTGGGCACCAGCTGAGACTTCCTTGCCAAACCTGTCACATAATGTTCCTATTAAGAGGAGAATGTTCAGAAAGTTTTCCATTCACATACGTCACTTTTTTTCAATCAATTTTCAAGCCCCAAAAAATACCTTCTATGGTTCTTTCAACTATTTTCCCTCCTGGACTCTCACTCTTTACCCTCCTGCAATCCTCTTTATTTACCAGTTATGTACTCCACCGGGATTCGAACCCGCAATCTCGTTATTCAATCACACCAGCCTTATCTGCTACACTAGTCGAACGATTATTGCCAGTAAGGGACTATTTGATGTATTTAAAGTATAAGGCTAATGAATATTTAATAAACAATAAATAAATATTCATGTAAAATTAAATATTCATGATGACGTATTGCACTATCATTGGGTACGGGTAGTGCATTGTCGATGTCACGTCATGCGCACGGCATACATCAATAACCAATGCCACAAATGGTCGCCTTGACCATCTGCTGCCGAGCTGATGTATGCATCCAAAGTGTGCTCCGAAAATGTCTTCACATTTCCAGAGCTTTCTGGGTTCGTCTTAGGTGAAATCACGAGGTGAGGAATTCAATCCGAATGTTCTTCAATGCTTATTACTCTGTAGCGGTCCATGGAATTTCCCCCTGGATCTTTTTTTTTCAGTACCCATTAGATTTACATGTACGGACTAATGTGCTTTGCTTTTCACTGACTTGTGACTGCACGTGTGCTCCATTTACATGTAGCATGCACTTAATCCCATCACTGCTGACTGAAGGCATGCTTAAAAAGGAAAGAGCAGAACAAACCATGTCAATAATTTACAGCATTCCCATGGTGACGAGCAGTTTGCGCAATTGATATCAGGAATTACTCGAGGCATAGGATGGATAAAGCAAATTAGCAGGATTCCTCATTATGGTAAGCAGATGCGTGAAATTGGGACCAGTACTCAATTTCAAGTCATTGAAGACAAAACTTGACAAATGTTCACCTCTCAAATGAACACCTCTCACCACTGTGGCCTGGGTTCGATTCCCGGCTGGGGTCATATGTAAGTAGAGTTGTTGGTTGATTCTCTCTATTGTGCCGTTGATTCCCTCCTCTCCGGGTTCTGCGGTTTTCCGCCCTCCACAAAAATCAACACTTTCTATCTGGCTGTGCACCGTGGCAAGACATGGGTCGTATGGCGGCTGCCTATGCCTTCGGCTCAACCGTGTTGTAGCTGTGTCTTTCGCGATTCAGCTTCTCAGCTGTAAGGACGACTAGCCCCCCAATTTTATTTTATTTATTCTTGACCGAAGTCCATTCTCCAAATTTCACAAGTTTGTTATGCAATTATGTATCTCAGTCTGAATGTTTTCCAGTACGTGTATATCTCAATAAGCCATTTGCGAGTTAAATTTGAATAAAATCTGGAACGCTGACTTAATACAATGCTTTGCACGCTTTAACCTAGCATTCTCCCGACCAAAGAGACTGTTACTAGATCACGTGATTCGGGGCAAGCCTTATGCTAGCAACCCCCAGCTCCAGCATGGTCTGGTGTCTTTGTGCCATTCTCACCCATTGTGAACAATGTATTGATGCTGAACGTCTCTTATGTAACTATGCAAGACCTTGCCCCGAATCTTGTGATTAGCAACAGTGTCTTTGGTCTGGAGAATTCAAAGTTAAAATGTGCCAAGCATTCTGAGCAAGTCATTGTACCAGACGTTTTTCAAATGTAAATCCCAAAGGGTATAGGGTACTCGCAAATGGCTTATTCTGTCACGTTTTTCTAATGCACTTTTTTTTACATGTACAAAAAACAACAACAGTTGATGTCTCAGATTTAGTCATGCGAGTCCCAAGTCTTTTATTTTATTTTGACAACATAAAATTTTGTATTTACTACAGAAATTTAGATGTGTGTATACTAAGTAAAATTAACAAGTATGTATATGCTTATATTGTTATATGTGACGCATTCCCAGTTCTAGTTAAATGAGACAGAACTTGGCAAAGGTCAAAATGAGGGTGTGAATTGTTGCAATTCAATCAGACATTCTGTTGACAAATTATGGCTTTTTAAAATTTGCATTTATTGACATATCAAAAAGTAAAATCCTGAGAAAAAGGCGTTTAAAGTTTCAAGTTTTGTAGATGTGAAAATGAAAGATGCCACTTTTTTTTCCCTTAAAAACACTTGCACTCAATTGTAATACTATTTCCTTAAAACATGTGTAGTAGACGTATCAAAGATTACAAATATCAATAAATCAGGAAATCATTTTTCTCAACCATGGCCTGTGCCCAGTTCCACCTCAGTTCACCAGAACACCCGACATATATGCTCTGGTTGTAAATATAAAATTATGGCAGCACATGGACATATTTTTCCCTGGTTTTTTAAATATATTTTGGTTGAGTGTATAAAAAATGTTAGGCCAAAAAAAAAAATATTCGGTCTCTGGTCAGACCAAAGTTCCGGAATTGACGCGGCCACACGGCTTTTTTTTTTTTTTCAAGCTTGGATTGTACAGACAAGGTGGGGTACTATTTTGCTTTTTTGGTGTCCTCATGTACATTGGTGTCCTCCATAATTTGCCTTGGTGCTTTCGATCATTTGCCTTGGTGCAATTTCCCATTCCTTGGTGCTCTTTGGTAAAAAAAATTGAGGTTTGGAAATAGAGGGCGCTGTTAGAGCTACCGCGGAACATTTTGGAAAAAAAAAAAGATTGACGCGCATGATTAAAATCGACGCGCGCGCTGACCAGAGACCGACTTATTTTTTTTTTTGGCCTTAGTGCATTTGCAACACACATGCCAGTCACTACATCCACATGCCTTGGTAGCTATAGAAAAATCACATGTGAATTGCATACTGAGCGAGACTTCAATTTTTCCCTTTCCTTTTCTGGTAAGATTTTGTAGGCCTACCTAGATATCTCTCATATCAGTAGATTTTTAAAACGATTATGTGAGTTGTAGATATGTCATTGTTGAAAACTATAATACACACCATCCTGGAATTTTGTGCAATATAAATGAAACTTATTTTGTTTTTGTATTGTAAGTAATGTACATGTAAATATAAAACTTTATTAACTCCCATTTTTGCGGTACAAAAATTAATTGGGTTCTGAACATTACCATCTTTTCCCATTTGTTTTATTCACTGTATTAGTTTCAAGGTGCAACATACCTGTCTGTGTTATTAATACAAATATCACTTATTAACATACATGTATGTTCAAAGAAGTTTTTTTAATTCTTGACGAAGTGTTTAAAAAGTAACCATTCTGGAACACAGTATCGACATCAAAAGTTCACGTACCATGAATTTGAAGGTTTCTTAGTTTTGGCTTTATCATGAAAAAGAAATAAAATATATACTGTATTTCCAAGAATCCTGTTTTCAATATGGCACATTTTCTCATGGCATGTAAAACTTCATCAGAGGTTTGCATCTACAAATGTGTTGAACAGTTTGAGTTATAAACCGCAAAATCAATTTTAAACCAGTTGCCAAGGAGACTAGAGGTACGTGTAGCTTCCAATATTTCTGAACTGTATCCTCTTAGTAACAAGTTTATGCAAAAACTTCAGCCCTTCTCGTTATGGCAGAATTTCAAGAGCGTTCTTCGAATATGGCGCCATTTTGATTTTCTATGCATCAAATAAAATACTTTTGCTACAGAAAACTGCATTTACTGTGGTTGCAAAAACTAGGTGATGTGACTTTGAAATACTTTAGAGAAGTCAAATTCATCAAATAGTTGCTTCATACTGGTCTTTTGTTGCTCAGAACAGTCGTAGGGAGTCTGACACACTTAAAAATGTTGAAATTAAAAGGATTATGATGTTGAAATTAAAAGGAAAAAAATCCAATAAAAATAGTTGACTAAAGGACAACAATATGTTTATGATGTGAAGACTTGTTTCTTGCTGGAGTCAGGCATTGAACGCATCTCAATCTTCCTGAGCTGTTTCTTCTTCATTCGTTTGATCTTGCCAGGATTGGAGATCTGAAAACACAAGAAAAAAAATGAGAATCGAGTCATCCTATGAAGTAAAACAAAAAAAAATGAAGGTTGGGTGTAAAGAAAAAGCAAAAGGTGTCTTTCAATTTCTAGTTATAAAATTTAAGATTATTAAAAAAAAAAGGATAGTGTTAGCTTGCAAATCTAAACAAACGTTTTGTGAAGAAACTCTTGATAAATTTTTTTAACAGCACAATATCGGGTAAGTGTCTTTGTCCACATGATTGTCAAAGTGGGATTTGTTCCTATGTCGCAGGAGCAGAAGGCAAGCAGGCAACAACTGCAACAAATTACTAGCACTTTTTCAACAGATGTCATTGAAGCAGTTGTAAGCTTTCACAGAAAGGACGCAAGCTCTTCGTTGAAAGTATGAAAATTCCATATCTGTTCCCTCAAAACCCTAACTCCCTAGGCCTTTTTGCTAGGATGTAGCCTCAATCCTGCAAAATCCTCCAATTGGCCTCATGGAAAATTAGCATATAGCCTCAATCCTGCAAATTCCTCCGTTATTTCTTGAATATGGTCCATGGAGGGATGACCACTGCCTGAATCCTGCAAAATCCTCCGGCTATGTCTGTCAATAGGCTGAGGCAGAGGCAGTGACATCCTGGAGCAGTGCGGAGGATGTCAAGTATAATCAAGGACTAAGTTTATGCACGGCTGGGCATAAACAACACAAGGTCCGGCCCAAGACCTTGACACAGTGCGTACTCCGAAATCAGCAACGCACTTTTGCCATGTAACCTCAATCCTGCAAATTCCTCCAATTTGCAAAAAGGATTTTGGAGGATTCAGGGCGGTTAGGGTTAAGACCCCAATAAACTTGGCCACAAAACATACTTTGAAACTTCTCCCATCAATTGAGTGTCTACCCAGGTAAACAACCAAACAAGTCATCACACTGCTAACTGCTAAGCCAGCCAGTCAGTAAGCCAGTTACCTTTAACCCTAACTCCCTAGCATGATTTACTAGGATCCATACCCATCCTGGCAAATTCCAACACCATATGGGAAACTGCACACACATATTTCTGACTCCCACTCTGGAGGTGTGCCAACCCAATGTAAAAGTTTAGGGGTACTGTACCCATCCTGACAGATTCCAACAAAACATGCCGCTGGGGTTTGATGGGTTGAGTTCTGTAAGGGTTAATGCAAAACACAACTCGGACATAACATTGTACATATAGATTTTCTACAGAACTCACCACTTGCACAACCTCTGACTTGCGCTGGTTCTCCAGCTTGCGCTTGATTTTCTTGGCTCGGTGCTTCTTCTTCCTCTGAAATGCAAAGCAAAAAAATGAGAAACAAATGAAGTGAAGCAATTAATAACATTTAGCAATTGGGGTTTGCTTAAACATGTCCCTCTAGAGGTACCAAAAACATGCAGCTCTGTTGGCGGGGGGGGGGGGAGGGGGGTACCATTTGGAATCACCACAGTATTTCAAAAATTGTGTTCACACTCACAGCACAAAGCTGAAGAAATTTTGCAAAAACTTTCCAAATCTATACAATCATACAATGGTCACTGAAACTGAATAAAACTGTGACAGCTAGCAACAGGAGGGGGGGGGGGGACACCACACTACTGGTTCCCCACCCCTGAGCCACCCCTTTCCTGAAGAACCACACTTGGTATAAAAATGAAGAGAAAGGAAATCTATTCTGTGTAGGTGAATGTCAAATTCCTACAATAAATAAGAAACCACACCTCCAGTTCAGTGCTCTTAGCCTCCTTCAGCTCGGCCTCAAACATCTTCAGGTTCTTCATTTCAGCCTTCTGCTGCATCTTTTTCTGCCAGGAGGTTTTCAGCGGTCGGTCTTGTTTCATCCCCGAGAACCTGAGATGAAAAACATGGATGTGGGTTTTAGCCTATTGGCAGAGCACAGTTTGTTTGAACCTTAATATATCTGGTAACTTTAACCATTACTAAGCCAAAGATCTTGGTTAAAATGAATATTAAAATTGTGATATGCATTAAAGATGCGCAGTGGTTATCGTTATGGCAGCTGTCAAGCGATTTCAACTGCTATTGTCATGAGACCGTCTGGTTCCCTGACCTAAAAGTATTCAACGTCAGGATCTTTGGCTGTTGGAACCAGACTATCATTCAACCGAATGGCTCTCGGACTTTATTTCCCTTAAAAAAGAAATCCTCCAAAGCCACAGATTATGAAGAAATAAAATCTACTTAAAAGCAACTATTTGAATACAAACATGAAACTTGAAGTTGAAAGTACAGAAAACTATTAAAAAAAAAAATTGAACAGCGCAGCAGCAGTTTCGAACCCAGATCCCGGCACAGTAGTCAAACATGTGACCAATCAAGCTACCAAAGTGCTGGTTGGCCGGGTAGTTATAAATGTTGGAAATCGACGGCTGCCATAACGATAGCCACTGAGTTAAAGATTCATCCAAGCTCAGTATATCTGCTGAAAACTGGGCTTGTCCATGAATTCAGAATAATTTTCATGGCAAATTTGATAACAAATTTGTCTATGGCTGTCTCATCCATGACACCACGGAGTAGTATGATCATGATGGCAAGAACAAAAACTATATGACTCGTCAGGTACTTGTTCTACCAAGTGTTGCCTACGTGTACAGTACGGCATGGAGGATGACACCTGGGCCCCGCACGCAATTTAGCACGTCTTGGCTGAGCTGTGCGAGAGCACTGCAGCAAGTGTCCCAACTATAGTTGGGCCCCCCAACTGCCGCACTACTACAGTTGGGACGGTCCCAACTATACTTGGGAGCGATGCTATATAGGTAATAAGCCACTCATTCTTCTAGTGGGCAAAGCATCCCGGGGGAAACATCGCACCAACTTTGTGCATTCCATCAATTACCGTGTTGTCTGCTCCGTCTTCCAGAACCTGCCAGACTTTGGTTGGCCTTTAGGTTTGACTGCCTGTCCCTCGGCATATGACTCTTGCTTGTACAGCTGCAGAACATCCTTTACGTTAACAGCCTGGGAGATCGTAGCTTCAGATCCCTCCTCTTCAAGTTTGCGTTCAGCCCCAGTTCCTTGTGTTGCGAGTACGTTTTCCTTTTGCGTTTTGTCCATGATGGAAGAAGTTGATGGCGGGGCCGGTTTGGAATTGGCCAAGCTAACATCTTGTTTTGCCTCTTCAGACGTCACTGTTCTCTGGTGTTTAACGTTAGCTCCCATGGTCATTCCATCATCAGCAGATGATGTTGATGAAATAGATGCTTCCGGATTGTCCACTTCTTCCGTTTGTCCTTCGTGATCGGCAGTCAGTTTTCTCTTCCTGTTTCTTCTTCTGCTTCGCTTTCCTTTCGTTTGCTCCTTCTCGGCGCATTCATCATTCGTTGCTATAGCAACTGCATCTTTGTCACATGCTGCAACAGGCGCGGTACTGGAATCAGGCAGGGGGGTTTTATCGTTGGATGGGATTATTGAAGGACTTTTTCTTTTGGAATCAGTCTTTTTAACATCGCCACTGTTCTTTGAATTTCCAGAATCACTGTTAGTGTTTGATTTCGAGGACGACCTTGAAGTTCCTTGGCTCCGAGTTAAAACCATTTTAGCAACTGAGAGTAAGTCTAACCGTGGAGCTATAGACTAAGTACATACATTTTCCCGTGCCTTCTTTTAATTGTAAATCAATGGAACACGTGTTTATGTTCCTGCTATTACACGCTTACCAGTTCAATGAACTCTGTGCGATATTTTTGGGCTACAAGTCAAGGAGAGTCCATATAAAATTGGGGCAAACTTTCTCAATTTGCGATAAAAGTATCTTTAATTTACTTAGCTAAAACTGGTTTATTTACAAACAAAAAGCAGTATATTTCTTTTGGACTGCATACAAGCAACAAAATACTGCTTATAAGATTTGTAATCTGGAGTAGTTTACTAAATAATAATCTATTATTACCTATATTTTAATAGACGCACCCAATGGCGCACGGTTGGGCGTTAATTTTCGCGGACCAAATTTTCCATCCGGGTACTTTCAACATGGACGGCATTTCTGGTTACATTAGCGATTCTAGCGAAACAAGAAGTGGCGGAAATTCTCCTGCATTAAACACATTGAGCGAAGAATTTTTGAAGAAGGTATGTTCCAAAACTTGTTTGAAATATGTTGGTCTTAATGTATAAAAAATATCGTCTTCGACGCTCCAATAAACGGAGCTTTACACAAAACAAAAACCCTGTTTGAAGTGAAACAATGTCGAAAATCGTTTGGCGCACGTATTTCGACATGAGGGCGCCCTTCACTTCGTATATAAAATTACATTGTCATTGATGAAAAGACATGAAAGAACACAGTTGCCACCACCTTTTTTTGGCCATATTATCCATATATATAATGTCAGTGTAACAAATGTAACAAATGTTAAAAATCGGGTTTCATTCATGAAAATGTGATCTGGTGCACACATACAAACTTATCGCGGAAATTCACCTATGCAAATTGGGGTCAACACGCCCCTCATTATGACGTCAACGTTGAGTTCGTGCTTGCGCTCATGCCATCAATTTCAGCCCGACTCGCTTCAGTTTTATGAATGAAATCATTATGCATCGGAGAGTGCACATGCCAGAAATTTACAGTAGAAAAGCTCATGATATCTGCTTTCTTTTGCCGAAAAAAGCATCAAAATCGATGACCTATTGCTTGAGTTTTGACAGTTGAAACATTTTTTAGCGGTTTTTTTTTTAGGAACCAAAACTTCTTATTTTTCGAGGGAGTCCATCTTTTTAATCCTAAATTTCTCTCTTCTCGAATTTGGTTCGGGAAAACCGGAATTAGTTCCATATAGAACAGGTTTTCAGCTTTGATATGGTGTGGCACATGTGGGTGGCCGGTCTGATACGGCGATGGCCGCGAGCAATATGCATAAAAATTGCTCGCTAAAACTGCCCAAAATTGCGAATGATAGTGAAGTAATCACGTGATATAAACACGTGCAACGTGCAGGAGATATATATAGCTCAGTGAAAGGCGGTTACGAAGATTAAAGGGATCCCGTTTGATTAAAGGGATCCCGTTTGATGAAATGTGTGTGTGTCTCTTTTTTCTGTCCCTTTTACCCTGTATCCCGATGCAACGGAGTTGGGCGGTGGGTTGGGGTGGGGATGGCCCGCGGGTGGGGTGGGGGAGGCCTGCAGGTGGGGTGGGGGAGGGGGAGGGGATGGGGGGGGGGGCGGGGGAACAAAGACACAGTGGGTGGAATATGCACATTCTTTGGTTGAATGGCCATTGCACATATCCCAACACCTTGAGGGGCGGGGTGGGGTCCCCTGGGTGGGGGGAAAGGAACGGGAGGGGGGTACTGAGAACCAGGATAATGGAATAATTCCTGTCTTTCATTTCTTACACCTGCACCATATCAGGACCCCATGGAAGGGGAGTGCACATAAGGGGTTCCCGGTGGAGGGGGGGGGGGGGCGTGGGGGAGGATGCCTCGTGAGTGTAGAGGGGGGCCGGGGTTAGAGTACTCAAAACCAGGAAGCTTAAAATCCGGGGGGGGGGGGGCTCAAAAGGAGGAGGGTGGAATTTCATATTTCCTTTTCTTTTTTCGGTCCTTGCAACATATCCCGACCCTAGTGGGCGATGGGTGGTGGGGGCCCCCACCAACACAGAAATCTTGATATGCAAATTAGGTAAACAGCGCCGCTCATTATAGCATCATCATGAAATTCTTGCTTACGCGCATGCCATCTACTTCGGCCAATTTTCGGCCAGACTCCTTCAGTTTTATGAATAATATCACTGTAGGCCTACATCGGAGGATGCACCTGCCAGAAATTTACATGCTGAAAGCAACAGAATCATGTCCGCTTCCTTTTGCCGAAGACAGAGTCAAAATTGTTAAATGAAAGGGTGAGTTTTGACGATTAAAATATTGTTTTAGCGTTTTCCTTTTTGTAACTCAAACTTCGTATTGTCCAAGGGAGTCCATCTTTCAATCCTGTTTTTCTTCCTTCCAACATTTTGTTTGAGATCAAATGAATTAATTCCGAGTAGTTGAGTTTTTTAGCTGGCGAATGGTGTGGCCTAAGTGGGTGGTCGGTTTAATAGTGCGATGGTCGCGAGCAAAATGCATGGAAATTCATCACTGGAACTGCCAAAAATTGCGAATGATTTTCAAATGATCACGCCGGTTATATCCGGCCCGCCGGCACCGCGCGCGTTCTAATAAAAACCCAAGATTAATAAAATAATCGGTTACACCTCTATGTTCCGACACCCCTATGTTCCGACTGCACATATTCCTATTCCTAGCCCTAACCCTAACCGGGAGTAACACAATCTAGGTTGTCGGAACATAGGGGTGTCGGAACATAGAGCAGTCACCAAATAATCAAGATGTTTTGTTTTCTGATAAATGATGTGACTTTATTATTGGGAATACCACTGTCTTTTTTTTCCTTTTCCCTGCCCTGGATACCATATTCCGACCCTGGGGATGGGGCGGTGGGGGGGGGGGCGGAGCGTGGTGTTCAAACCACGCCAAGAGGGCTGAAATTGTTTTTTCCAACAAGTGAAGTTTGTCTTTTAATTTGGTGCAATGACGTTCCAGACCAGACTTTCTTTTACTGCGATATCATGGACCGGGCCGGGGTTGAGGCGGGACCGTATCATAAGTCCGACGCCTCATAGGTCCGACGCCTCATAAGTCCGAAATTTCGGACTTATGAGGCGTCGGACTTTATTTATTCCGCCTCATAGATCCGACGCCTCATAAGTCCAACTCCTCAAAAGTCCGACAACGGAAAAACGAGTGTCGGACTTACGAGGTGTCGGACTTACGAGGCGTCGGAGCTATGAGGCGTCGACCTATGAGGCGTCAGATTTATTAGGCGTCGGACCTATGAGGCGTCGGACTTATGGGCCTTTATTTGGTTAGGGGATGTGATTTTGTCGGATTTATGAGGCGTCGGACATATGAGCGGACCCCGTTGAGGCCGGGTAGGGGTTGTGGGGGCGGGGGGGGGGGGGTTCCCAAAACAAAGAGGGTGGAATGTCCTTTATGTTCTTTTAGTTATTAATCTTAAGACGTGCTGCTCTTGGGGGGGGGAGAGAGGTGGTGGGGCCGCATGAGTCGGGGGTGGGGGTGGGGGGGGGGGGGTTAAGGTACTCCAAACCAGGAGGGTTGAATATCCCGGGGAGCATCAGAAGGGGAGGGCCTGGAATTTCCCAATCTTCTTTTGTTTTCATCATCATCATCATCATCATCATCATCATCAGACGTCGTAGGCTACTGCCCGTTGACGCAACAACCGTCCACTTCTTCTGGGTTGTGTGACTGGTGAAGGGGTGATTTCCTTCGCTGAAGGGTCGCCGCAGTTAGTTTATCCACGCTGAGACCGCTCCATCTGGTGAGGCCGTCGATCCAGCGGAGTTTGGTCATTGCATTATATCCCGACCCTTGGAGACAGAGGGTGGGGGCCCCGACAAACTATTCACAGAAACCTTCGTATGCAACTAGGCGAACAGCTCCGCTCATGATGACGTCATTGTCAAGTTCTTGTTTCATTACGCGCATGACATCGTCTTCGGCCAATCTCACTGGGAGTCCATCTCTTCAATCCTATTTTTCTTCTTTCCAACATTTGGGGTTTTCAGCTGTCGAATGGTGTGCCACATGTGGGTGGTCGATTTGATAGTGCGATGGTCGCGAGCAATATGCATTGGCATTTTTCGATGGAACAGCCAAAAACTGCAAATGATTTTCAATAATTGATCACGCCATCACCGCTTGCGTTCTAATAAAAAAACAAAATTAATCTAAAAAGCAAGATGTTTTGTTTTCTGATGAATGATGCACCTTCATTACATTATTGGGAGTAGGCCTACCCCTTTCATTTCATTTCCCCTGTCCTGGATATCATATTCAGACCCCCGGGTGTGGCGGGGGCGGGGTGTGCGGTTCAAGCCATGCCAAGAAAGCTGAAATTATTTTCTTTTCCAACAGTGATTTTTGTCTTTTTACGGTGGTGGTGCAATTACGTTCCTGGCCAGACTTTCTTTTTTACTGCGAGACTGGGTTGGGGTGGGGGTTGAGGCCGGGTAGGGGTTGTTGGGGGTCGGGGGATTTTCTTCCAGTGATTCTAAGTTCCAAATCTGCATGCCCAGTGGGTGGGTATGGGAGCGGGCAGGGCTGGTGGATTTACCAAACAAAGGATTGCATATTCTTCAAGTGATTTTATTCAGACTTGCTTGCCCGTGGGTGGAGGGGGGGGGGGGGGACGGGTTGGATTTCCCAAAACAAAGAGGATGGAATATCATTCCTGGGAGAGAGAGGGGAGAGAGAGGTGGAGGGGTTAGAGTACTCCAAACCAGGAGGGTTGAATATCCCCGGGAGAGCCGCAGATTGGGAGGGCCTGGAATTTCTCAATCTTCTTTTGATTGGGTCCTTGCATTATAATCCCGATCCTTGGGGCAGAGGGTGGGGGCCACGACAAACTATTCACAGAAACCTTCGTATGCAAATTAGGTGAACAGCGCCGAATTTTATGACGCAATCGTCAAATTCTTGCTTTGAAATACGCGCATGACATCGTCGTCGATCAATTTCGGCCACTCTCGCTAGGAGTAGGAGTCCATCTCTTCAATCCCGTTTGTCTTCTTTCCAGTATTTGGTTCAAATTCAAATGAATTTATTTCGAATAGTTGAGGATTTTAGCTGTCGAATGGTGTGCCACATGTGGGTGGTCGGTTTGATTGTGCGATGGTCGCGAGCAATATGCATGGACATTTTTCGAAGGAAATGCCAAAAATTGCGAATGATCAGTTAGTCTGTATACAGTATACACGTACGTACGTGCAGCAGAGCAGGGGATCTACCCGATGTTCCCCAATACCGATGTTCCCCCAAATCCATAGGATTAGGGTTAGGGTTAGGGTTAGGGTTATATTGGTAAGGATTTCGAGGAACATCGGTATTAGGGAACATCGGAATTGGGGAACATAAACATGCACCCGTGCAGGAGAAGAAGCGTTACAGAGCAAGGATTCCGTTTGTTGATGGCCTTTTTTTTCGTCCCTTACTATCCCAAAGCGACGGGACGGGGTTGAGTGGGTGGGGTGAGGGAGGCCCGCGGGT